TTGATTGTCACAAAATCGAAAAAGAGTTAAGTCTGGAGGATTTTTCAAAATATGTTTCGACGTGGTCAAGCTATCACACATTTTTGAAAAATAAAGAGGATTGTCAGTCGGATATTTTAAAGGATTTCGGCAATGATTTGAAAAAACTTTGGGACGTGGAGCACTTGCGTGATGATGAAGTAAAATTATTCGTCACGTGGGATGTGTTCATACTTCTTTCAGGAAGACCTTAGCAGTAAACTTTTCATTCTTAATTATTATATTTCTGACCACCGAGTTTACATACCCAAATACAAAGTTTTTATAAATTGAGGGGTGTGAGATATTTTTCTGCTCTCAACGTTTCGAATTTGCCTAGTTACCATAAATGTGTTGTAAACTCGATTAAATTATATTATAATCATAAATATAAAAAATCATATTATATTCGTTCATCTTCATTAAATAAGGCGACAATATGTAAACGAGAATATCGGTTGGAAACCGAAGACTTATCGATCGATAGTTAGGGGATCCCCCAAAACAGAAACTGCAGTTTCGATTCATCCGCTCTTGTAACTTGCGCACTGCGCATCGCACACACACACTCGGCGGGTTTCCAAATTCTCTCGCTTTACAAAAATCTAGATCACTATATCAATAATTGATCGATAACTCGCTAATTATACGACATAATTCGCCCAAAATCAATAGGCTTCTGGTCCGAGATAAGATGAATGCACATGCAAAATCTGGAGCAGATTCAATCTCGCTTTCGTGAGATATCGCGTGCATCTAACAGACACACAGACAGGCAGACAGACATACATACATACAGACAAATACCTATCAATATACTTACCGATCTTAAGATCGATAAGTAACAAATTCCAATATCTTTTATGACTATGGCCCGAACACAGATAAAAATTGTAATTCGCCAAACTCTGACCTCATTGACAACTGGGCTAAAATCGAACGTTTAGCGAAGCAATGATCTATTGACAGTCATAACTACAGTCGGAAAATACGTGCACGTTTCTTGCTGTAATGCGTAGAAACTTGATCAATTGAATGCGTATTTCGTTTTCGGTTTATCACGCCACCAATTTCAAATGAACAGAAAACTGGCAATTTTACATTGTGATACCGGATTCTGGACAGTCCAAACCTGATCAATTGTTACCGGTGACCAGGGATGGCCATTTCCGAATACTAAACTATTCGGAATACATTCTAAAATCGAAAATAACACATTTTTGTTTTAGTTTATTAAAACCCAGTAAATTAGGAAATAAGCTTCAATAGAAATATCAGAATAAAGCCACAAACCAACAGTATATGTACACAAAGTAATTGATAGTTTATAGCTATCAATAAAAAATAATAGCAACTTGTGACACAGTCAGTTTATTAAAATTATTCACTTTGTACAAATGACCATATGAAAAGATAGCCAAGGAGTTGTTTGACGCTTTCTATCACTGGTACCATGATATTACGATAATAGTCAAAAATACTACTTGTATTTAGATAATTGTGTATATTTTCTGTGAGTAATCAAATTTATTGGCAATACAGGCAACTGGAACATGCAACAACAATCGAAAATCCATTATGCCTTTAAAAATTCTAATTTTTGAGCTTAGAGTATTCTACTACCTACCAGTATATTTGTATATTAATTTATGTGAACCATATTGTTAATATGTGTAACATATTGTTGTGTTTGAAATTAGAAATAAATTAATAGAGAATAGATGACCACCACTGCCAGCCGCGCAGCCAGGATTTTCGAAATCGGAAATTCCCATTGCCGCCTGTAACACCCACCGCGATTCCGCGCTCGTTAAAAGAGCCGTCTTTTCAGTGTATAATGATCATACTGTTACATAAAATATTCAATCCATGACAACTACGAGATTCTAAAATATCTTTATATATTAATTTAATGTGTCCAACGTAACTCGCGGTTGCTTCTTCTTACGTCAAAAAAAAACATTATTATTCGGTCCACAGCGATTTGTGACCTAAAAGTACGAGATAAACCGCCTGAAGTATTTAATTTTAATACGTATTTTTGCAATCTTGCCAACTCGGTATCGCCGTTAGAAAAATCTCAAATAATGATATCATATCCTGTTACGTGTAGTGTATAATTCATTTCATACAATGAATATACATATAAAGTTTAGCAGTAAATCAAAAATACATATTCATCGCCGCGATTATGCCACCTGTTAAAAGAGTCGACTTTTACAATAAATGATATAACAACGAATATATATTTTTCTGTTGTGCAAAGTGATGTTTTTGTGACCGATTCGGGCATATTTAAAATGTCTTGCTTTATTAATTTAATTGTCTTCAATTTAACCTGCGGTTGCGTCGACAAAATAAAATCCTCACCACTCTTATATACCATTGCAATCCGAGATCATAAGAATAAAAACGTGTGGTAAACTGCCCGATTAATTAAATAATGTTTAGATCCGTATTTTGCGAATTCGGCAAATATTTAGATGTATGCCTACTTGTTAACAGTAACTCCGCTTAATCGAAATGCTGACACTCTCTCTCTTATTTTTAGATAAAACCGTTCGAAAAATCCATAAATCTGCAGTAACATCTCAGAGTAAAATTTATTTCATCACAATAAAATTGATTGAATATACTTTAGATCAGGGGTCACCAACGCGTTGCCCGCGGGCACCAAGTCACCCGCGAAGACCATATGAGTCGCCCGCAGGTCTGTTCCAAACTTAGTTTAATAACGGCTCTTATAAGTAAGCTACATCAATTAAATTTTGTCTGCTATTTTAGTATAAATCACACTTATATGGGAACTAGAAATGACACTATATTTATTATTGTAACCATCAACCTTATTTTTATTTGACCCCAGTAATGTGACGGGTCAATTAACACTCTTCCAATTATGACATCACACTGAGATCACTTTAGCGGAGCAGTAATAATACAATTATTGATTCCAAAGAAAAATCCATTATTTTCACGATGAATGGGAGGTGGATATATTTATACCACCATGAAAACAGCCTGCGTGTGTCTCATTAGTGGGGCGATTTTAGCGACGGCAAAGCGGAAAGATATTTCACATCTTGTCACGTAATCTTCCGCGCTAACTACCCACTGGTCAGCACAGTACGGACAGAAAAAGCTTGCGATTCAAATCATACAGTAATCCTATTTTACGAGACCATCGTTTGTTTCAACCTATCCTTTCGAATCAACATTTTTGACATAAACTCAGGATAGGAGGAGATTTACATATTTCTCCCGGGGGAGAAGATAGCCGTTAGGACGGATCAATCATATGACAACCACGGCTTCTCGCCGGTTACCACTCGATGTCGGGTATAGTTAGTTATTTGTTTCCGGAAGCCTGGACTTGATGGCGAAGGAAGCCTTAACCGACCAGTGATTACGTGAACCACACTACGGCGGCGAGGAGTCCAGCAATCCTTTCGCACATAACTATCCCCGCATGGGATTCTAACCTGCGAACCTAACGCTTAACACGATTGTCCATAGCGCCGCGACTCACTCCACCTGGAACAAACATGGAACACGCCTCACTGATGAAAATCTGCAAGACTCGCTCAGAGTTACAGTGTCAAGTTACTCGTCGGAGTATAATACTCTGCAACATTTGATAGTACAACTGTTAAGTTCATTTTATCTTAGACTTGTGCAGAGTGTTGAAAATCAATTTAAAAACACTCAGTTTTGAAATACAAGTGTTATTGATAGAAATTTATTTGCAACGTTGTGATAATCGTTTGATTTCCTGAAGAATCCTAAAGTTTATTAGTGTCTATACTTCACTAAATACCAGTAATTATATCAATAATTTAAGCTCAATCGAGCAACTGATATTTTTAGAAGTGTAAATTGAACTGGTAGCCCGCAGCTTAATCTGTACCCAAAAAGTAGCCCTTGGCTTCGAAAAGGTTGGTGACCCCTGCTTCAGATTAATTATATACATCCTCACAACCCGGGAAAAAGTCGCGTTTCAAACCTTGTATAATGTTAACACGAAAATATTCGACGGCAATTTAAAGTAATGAATAATCAGGCAAATCCCGCCCTCAATTCGTGACGATATGTTTCTAAACGCCCGACCAAACATAATGTGAACGGTAGGCCCACGAAATTTTGCGATTTTCACTGCCTAGAAAAGCGTTTTATAAATTTTCGCGGGCCTCAATATAACTTATATTGTTTGCGGTTTTATTTTCAGTATTTTAAATTGCCGCTTTTCAATCAAAAAGTTGCGTTGTCTTTAGAAACTCGCCGCCGATGAACGTATTTACCAGATTCACAATTCCGTGCGCGTACAAAAATAAAATAATTGTCATCGTTATCGTGGAACAAATTTGTGGAGAACTTTCGTTTTAGAGAAAATAGAACAAACGTAAAGGCGCTTACGGCCTAAATAACACGTTACGCTGATGAGTGATGAAAACAATCACGCGCAAATTTCTATCGAGAATGTTTTCAATCAACGGAAACGTCATGGAAGCGGCGTCGAAAATGTGTGACGTCACACAAATATTCTTATGAACGCTAATTCCGATATTCGAATTGGACGGGGAATTTGCAAAAACAAATGCATTCGGTTCGACACCAATCGGCAATTGTGGGCCAACATTCAAGAGAGAGGGGGCTAATGTAGCAAAATGGTTGTTCCGAACAACGAAAGTTCTGCGAAGAAATCTCCCTCGTATAAATGTAATGGCAGGCGTGTTACATGATTGACATCCTACTGGCAAGGCTATTTTGTCAGACTACCCAATGCTCCGCCATAATCTCTAAATCCCGTCCCATATCAACTGAAAGATTACAGCATGGTGAACACGAAACGCCTTCGGTGTGTAAAGCAAACACTTCCGATAGTCCATTCTTGCTGGAATCTGAGAGGCTACGAGATATCACCAATAACTTGATAGGAACAATGATCCTTCATGATTCAAATCTGGAACTGTAAACACACACTATCCCATATGACTTAGTCCGTCAAATTCCAGTACAATTGCAGAAAAGAAACATTAAAAGCATGACATAAAATACAATAATTTACATGTTCCAATAGATGAAAAGCAGACCATGTGATGAAGATAAGATCATGGTCTCAGACATATAATCTACATCACACAACTGACAACCCAAGCAAAAAATTTACACTATATCACGCTAATATTGATGGGACTGGCATGCAATTTACTAATTTCTCAGAGAGAGTATCCTATTCTGGGTTCAAAGTTGTGGACTTGTAGTCATATTAGTAACTAAAATAGTGCCAGTCTCTAGTACTAGTTTTGAGCATGTTTTAACAACCCATTTACAACCATGATATAATACGCTGCTGCACAAAAATAATAAATACAAATTTGATAGCAAAAAAGAAATTCATACGCCATCACCCTCCACAATCCACGGCTATCTTATAAGTAGAAAAATCAACATATTAAAACTGTACATAATAAAGTTCCACAATTTCAAATCTATTTCAATATGTGATCAACTGGCTCTCCGTTTGAATATTTATCCCACATCTTTGAAAAAAGTACTTCTAAATTTTCTGTGTAGCTTTTGATGCTAAACAACGGCGACTCGATCCTTTGTTTCCAAACTTTAGCCCGTATTGACTTCAAACTAAAAAAAATATAGATACATAAGTTTTCCATACATCACCTCTGAAAAGCTCTTAGCTCATAACCAAACAAGCCAGTAAGAAATCACACATTTTAAAAATTCAAAAACTTACTAATCCTGATCTGTGCCAAGTTTGACGGCAATGTCTTCATAATGAGATCGTGATGATGCGATAAGTTCTGGACAACCCAAGCATTTAAGTTGCGAAGAGGCCACTCTACTTGCGAGTGTTTCACGCGGCAATGTCACCATAGGGCAACCAGCCCACAAAACATCCATGCCTGCGATATCAAATAAATCCATAAGTATTAGCATGACAAAACTAGAAGTTTCTACTATAAATTGATAAGCACAGTACCTGTTGTATGTCCATTACAGAGTGGTGTATCTAAACAAACATCAGCCAATTGTCCTCTACGAACATGCTCCTCTTTTGGTGCAACAGGAGAAAATATTATTCTGTTTGATGGAAGGCCACAAGTGTGGGAAGCAAAATGCTTGACGTTGCTTTCGCCAACAGCAGGAAAACGCAGCAACCACAAAACACTGTTTGGAACTCTTTTCAATATCTGGGAGGAATAAATTTATGAGGTTAGCAACAAAATTCAATTTAACAGTAATTTAAGGACCCAAAAAGTCTTCCCAAATAATATCTTAGCCACCCACATTTATTATAGAATAATAAGATAAAAAACAAGTACTTACGTTGCACCACATTTGTAATGTAGCTGGATCTATTTTATAAAGCTGATTGAAATTACAATACACTATTGCGTTATCTGGTAAGCTGTATTGTGCTCGGCTGGATACAATGACTCCAGAAGGTGGTTTTTCGCCTGTCGCTGTTTTTGCATCCAACTGTTAAAAGTATGAAGAATATGAATATTCTATCAGTGAACTATCTCAATGATAATATTAGTAATGGAAAAAAGGAATACCTGTGCGATTGCAAGTCCATTTTGTATGGTCATATCTCCAATTTTAACTGATAATTGTCCTGTTTTTATCATGTTACGAATCGCTACAATGGTTTCATTATTAGCAGGCACAGATGGGATGGCAATCTGAAATAAATACATAAATTTGAAATTATTATATGGGCGAGAAAAAGTAAAAAAGTTAGCTTCCAAAGCCCATGTCAGAAAGCTTCATCAATATTGTGAAACCCCAAATACAAACCTCATCTTCCGAATCTTTAGCCTTAGCTTTTAATAACCCGACACCATCTAAGCTATCGAGAAAATCGCCCAATCGATCGGAATTAATGACAAATTTGTTGTCACCAAACAATCCAGTAGAGTTTGTTGTGTCGAGAACAGCTTTTTCCTGAAATATAACGGAAGAATAAAAAATTGGAAATTTATCAATTTCAATTTTGATTGATTTAGAAAAACTGAAATTGCACTTACTCTCATCATTGGGAACATTCTAGCATGATCTCCAGTAAAGAAAGTTTGAGGCATGTACGCAAGTTTTTCACTGTATTGCATCTTTACTTCTTCAGGAGATGTAATTTCGTCAGTTACTATATAATCCATAAAAGTTGCTCCGCTAGTTCCTGGATATCCAAGCCACATCACCTGTTATACACATATTCATTAAATGAGTCCTCAAGGTCTAAGGATTGGTTGTATCAATTTAGGACTATACTGATGTTCAAGCTATGAGTAAAATACCTGAATTGGTGCCGGTTTAAGTGCAAATATTTCGTTTCTGGCTCCCTTCGTGTAACCGTTCATATTGAGCAAAATATGTATTCCATCCTGATGAATCCTATCTGCAGCCTAAATAAAAAAAATAAAATATTATTATACACTTTTTTCCCTTCACAAGAGCATGAACTGTACAAAAACTTTACAATTACCTTCCCATTGCAGGGAATCTGAGATAAATCAATGAAATGCTCTACACTCGACGAAACATGCTTCCTGAATTCTGTTCCATCATCTGGACTGAGGGCATAACAAAACACCTAAAAAAGATTGAAAAACGAATAAATCACACAAAATTTCAGGTGATTCAGTGATATCAAAGTTGCTTCAAAATCTTACCTCGACTTTGCTTTTATCGTGAGCTCCTGGAATACTTTGCATCAGATGGGATGTTGGGTGGTTTCCGAAGTCTGAGCTGACATATCCAACACGCAAACGACCATTACTGGCTTTCAAATCTCTCAGGTATTCATAAGGAGGCTTGTGGAGAATATTAATCTGCAATTCACAAAGTAATAAAACTAAAAACTCTATTTGGGTGTAAAATTATCATTGCTGATAAAACTTATACCATTTACCTTGTCTAAGCACAATGTGCCGTGTCTTGCTGCAATTGCTTTTCTAAACTCATGAGTGAGTGGATACAACATAGAATGATGTGGATGCACTGATGGAAGTCTGTTCTTCTCCAATTGATCCGAAACAATGGAAAGCAATTTTTTCATTCTTTCATCATAATCATTCCAATCACAGATTATCTAAAGAGAATTTGTAATTAAAACTCTATTGTAATGTTTCCACAATAAGCTATATGGCCACTATGTAGAAAACTAACCTGAAGGCAGTGGGCCAGATTGCAGTATGCGTCAGGAAAGTCAGGTTTCAATTTTAAAGCAGTTCTGTAAGATTGAATCGCTTCTGGTATATTACCACTATCCTTGTGTACAGATGCCAAGTTACTGTGGGCATCAGCAAAAGCTGGATTGATTTGAATAGCTCGAGTGTAGCATTGTATTGCTCCTTGTACATCTTGCATCTCTTTTAATGTGTTACCCATGTTCGAATAGGCATCCGCAAAAGTTGGGCTGATGCGGATAGCCTCCTTGTAATGAAGAAGTGCTTCTTGCAGCTTTCCTTGCTGCTGAAGGACGCTTGCCAAATTTGAATGAGCAGCAGCGAACTCTGGAAACACCTGTAATGATTTTATTATAAAAAAATTGAAAACAATAAGCCTGATATGAACTAAATTTTAAAATTTGAAAGTGCTGAATATTGAATCAAGCACGTCCTCTGGAAATTAGTCTTATCAGACATCTATAATAATTCTATTAAGAGATTGATCAAAAAAAAAATTCAGTAATCACCTCCAATGCTTTACAATACAGTGCAATGGCCTCCTCTATCAGTCCTTGTTCTCGTTTTATATTTGCCAAGTTGTTAAGTGAATCTGCATGTGTTGGACACAGTCTCAGTGCTTTATTATAACATTCTTCAGCATCTTCAACTTTACCTGAAAGTGCATTTTGCAACAGATATCAGGGTAAAAAAATTCCAAGAGTTGAGAGACAGATGATCAGAATCGTAAAGAATGGACAAAAAGCTAGTCTGAACATTTTCTACATACTCTCGTGCCTTCAAAAGTCTGATATAACACAATACATTTAACCGGAATAGCAATTTTACCTTTTTCTTTGAGGGCGTTGGCCAAATTGCAGTATGCATCAGGAAAGTGCGGTTGAAGTTCAATCGCTCTTCTGTATGTGTCAATCGCTAAATCGATCAGCCCTTGTTCATAATATACACATGCAAGATTTCCATGAACAACTGCATGGTTTGGTGATAGATTCAAAGCACGCAGATAAGCAGCAACAGCTCTACAATGAAAATTGTACATGAAAAAATTTAAGGAATATAGATTTTAATTTAAGTAATTAATAGAATGTTACAATGATTACCTATCAAAGATTCTTGCCTCTTTCAGTACATTTCCTAAGTTGATATATGCATCAAGAAAGTTTGGATCCAACGTCACAGCCTGAAATCCATGATAAAAAACTAAATCAATACCCCCATTGTACAATAAAATAATGTTTATACATAAGTATACACAAACAAGAAAAATACCTTTTCAAAATGATGAATTGCAAGCCATATTTCTCCTTGACTGTTGAAGACGCAGCCAAGGTTGCTCCAAGCAACTGCGAAATTTGGTTGTGTTTCTATCGCTTTCAGATAGCATGTCTAAACGCGAGAATAAAGGACAAATTAGGATAAGAAAAAAAGGAGTTTTGATATCGCACAGAGCAGCAGCAGCAGAATCCGGAAATGAAGCCAAAGATGCCGAATTTTCTCTGATGAAATAAATGGTTACATTAGCTTCTACTTCGCTTCATCCGCATAGAGTCTCACATTTGCAAGAATACTTTTTGCAAGTTGTGTCAAATAGATCTACCAAAAATTTTGGCAGAAATTTAAAGTCAAGCAATTGTGAGTGGAAAATGATGCAGCAAGATTTGAACATAGAATTCGCAAAGCGCGGCGCACATAGCAAAAAATACAAGACAATGCACAGTAATACAATACATATAAAAATAAAAGATCCATATTTATATACTTGGACCAACTTGGTATATACCATACCGTTGCCGCATATTGTCGGCGCTTACATAACAATAAGTAGCCTTGGGTGCCTGAGATATTTATTAGAGATACGACGAAGTCATCTGGCATGGTGATATTCATGTCCTGCTCTGTTGAATGCTGACGAGCTCTGTGCAATCTTTCTTAAATTGACTTGATAAATATGACAGAGAGATAAAGAATAAAATAACAAGATTAAAATATTGTAAGATGTCTTAAATAAATACTGGTACTTGGAAGTTACATTTGATCATTAATTGTAATTATGTCATTGACAAAAAACATTTTTTTTATTTATTCTTGTTTTTAGATATGTCTAAGAATTTGAACTAGAATCCCCTGGTAACAATAATGTCAGATTAAAGAGAAAGAACACTAACGTCAGATTAGAGAGAAACAATTACTTTTGAAACTAAAGCCAAACAAAGTTTGAGGTTTTAATTAAAATATGCAATACTTGGCATATGCCTTACCATTGCTAACTTTAATTCATACCACAGATGTAAATATATGCTGAGTAACCATCCTGTATCAGGTAGATTTTGTCCTTCTAGAGAAGCTTTTTAATTAAAAAATGAGCACATACAATATCTTACCATGGCACATCATGTTAATAATACCAAATTGCACATAGAATTTAATTTCGAGCCAATTGATAAAATAATTTGAGATACAATTCCGCTACTGATCCAAGAATTTTGTTTCAAACACCAAATTCTAAGATCAGAATATATTTATAAAGACGCAATTTAGCAAATGAACGTGACAGCTGAGAGTTGCATTTACTGGAAAAAAAACTATCTGGGGTTTTCAAGTTTTCAAGATACAGACATGTCCAAATGCACAAGTTAATCCCAGGAAGATGTCTTTCCAATAACAACTGCTGCGTCAGCTTACAACCCACGAGCGCTTGACTGTCAGTGTAAGATATCGGGATGGATTGGATATTGAGTAGTTGAAATACATTTCAAATGGGTAGCAAAATATGTCCACTGACAGCCATGTGGGTCAATGTACCTTCATTTCAATGCCGAATTCGCCGACTAAGTGCAAAAGCCATGCCCAAATAATATTTCGCTCCGGTTTATAGGAATACAAAAATTACCTCATCCTCAACAGAGCTGAGTAATCCAATTTTAGACGAAAAATAAATAATACAGTGTCACTTTTTGAAAAGTCATTAAAAATAGATTTGAAAATTGCACATTTCAGTACACTGCTATGTTCACAATCTTCAGTGTTGTTTTATGAGATGAAGAGAAATGAATCTGCTGCTGCTATACCTGTCTATAACATGTAGCACGGATGGAAAACAACACTGACCATTGTGAACATCAGAGGGAGCAAAATATTTCGAAGCAAGGCTAAACATACTATGAAATAACAAGAGCACAAACATGACTTTCTTGTTGAATTACTTGGTTTCAGAATTGAATGGCAAAGGGCTATGACTTATTTGAAAATAATGGCTTAATTGATTACAAAAATTATTATATTTTTCCTGTCTAGTTCAACTTCTATTAAAATATAGAGCTGAATTACAGCAGAAATATTTTCAAGAAAACAGGTGGCGCAGAGCCAGGTCGAACCCAATAATGGGGTGCACCGCAAAGTCGATTATTCTAGAACTCTTACACATAGACTTAATAAAAAAGCAAGCATGTGCAAAAAAATCATATTTGTGCTAATGTAAAATAATTCTATTTGATGTCTGAAACAGTATTTGGATTTCGGAAATGTGTCGATGTGCCATGGAAGTGATTCAACTTTTCATGTGCTCGAGCGTTTCTCGGTTGCTATCGACACAAACTGAATCCTGAAGCATGCATAGCGAAATAACTAGTTAAAACCAAATCATCATCGAAACGATAAATTGCAAAAGTATTCGAGTCCAGCATGTATGATTCAGGATTCAGGTGTAGATAGCAATATGCCAAGAATCGCAAATGCGCATTTGCTGAATGTAAAAAGCATGCCAATTTAATGCTGCAAATACCTTTGCCTCTTCTAAACGTCCAAGAGCTTTCAACAAATTACCAAGATCACTCCTCACACAATAGAGATCCTGAAATGAGTTGAAGTTGATTATTATTATTGAATTGAAGGGGAAAGTATGAAAATATGATCTGCGAAACGCAATTTACCGGATTTATTTGTAGAGCTGAAAAATAGGCCTGAACTGCGCCTTCCAAGTCTCCAGCAGTAACCAAAGCAGCTGCTAAATTGATATAACCATCAATGAAATCTGGTTTCAAGCGTACAGCATGCCTAAATTTAAATAGAAAACAAATAATACACGTTCAATTCCATATATTAAACACCGTTTGATAAAATGTTATTTTCTCAAATATCATACCTATAATGTTCTAAAGCCTCTTGCAATTGGCCTCTTTCTTTGAAAACATTCCCAAGATTAGAATAAGCTTCAGCAAGCATCGGGTTTGTTTTAATTGCATGTTTTGAAAAATATGCAGACCTGAAAAAAATTGGTTTGTTATGTCACCATTCTTACTTGAAAGACTACATTTAAAACAATAACAGAATAACATTGTAAGAACTGGATTATACTTGTCAAGTCTCCGACACTGAAAATGAATAGAACTGAGAAGTAACAGAACGCCAGTATTATCTGGATCTTGCTGCCAAAGATGCATACAATGCCTTTCTGCATTGTCATAATCGCCTGCTTGATATTCACGATGTGCAAGTTCAGCAAGACCTTAAAATAGGGAAACCATGTTAAGGAAACCCAGATAAGTATTAAAAAAAAAATGACTGAACAAAGAATCTTATTTCTGGTTCCACATTTTACAGTATTCAGGTATTGGCTTACATTGAGCTGCCGAGTAACTGCATCACTCCATGCACTCTTTAACTTTGAAAAATTATGACCGAATGACTTACACCTCAGTCTCATGCAGCAATTTTATTTGGAGACTACATTCTCAAAAAAAAAATCCAATACGTAATCGACAATTTACAGAATTACTAAATCAAGAAATCAGTATACAGGAATAGACAAAACTTTTGCAAAAACATATTTTTCTAAAAAGTTATCTGTAACGTTATATCACACATGGTTACATTATAATGGAAATACTGGAATGACTAATTGTACAACAGTATAAAGTTTAGACAATTATTTGAAGTTTATGACAACAAAATTCTGAAATTGTTCAAGTGTACCAAAACTCCTGAAACTTGGTAGTTGGAAAGCAAAATACAGAAACACAAACCCATCAAACTGTGCAATTAGTAAAAAATAACTTATAACAGTATAAGTTTACCAACCTGTGGCATCAAGAACAGCTGCTTGATGATTATTATTTAACATAATTTTCTTAGTGTCGTCCTTCGTCATTGGTGAATACATTGGATCACGAATTATAGTAGTAAAGAGAAATTCAAGTCGACAGCAATGTCTGAATATGCCAATTTATGACAGGCTGGCAGGGTTAAGCAATGTCAGAATGTGAACTCTTCAAACAATCTTGTGTTGCAGACTATGCAAGACAAAAATCACTCATAGTTTGATTTAATTAGAAAATCTATATAAATGAACAGAATATAAATATCAGTTTTTGCACCAATAACACTTGAAAATAATTCCCAACGCCAAATCGCAAATTTTTTGAATTTATTCATACTCACAAAAACCTTATAACCAACGATACAACATACAGACATGAAGGAGAACCATATGGACAAATAATCTAACGCTAAACTTTGTCTATATACATCATAATCTAATCACAATAGTAAAAGTTACGATAAGTCGAGGAAAATATCAAAATTAAACATTGTTATTATTGAGCCCACACGCGTGAATCGTCCTTTCTGATAAAAACAAAGGGCAGTACTATTTACAGTCACGTCGAAGTGTTTCCAGTTTCCACCCAGCTCTGTCGCGTGATGTTATATTCATGCGCGCGAGGCGCCAAATATTCATGCGCACGAGACGCCAATGGTTAACTTGCAATGATACGTGGGTGACGTCATTTGTCGTGACACGCTGACTTTGTCTGGTTTCGGGAGCTTTGAAACAACGAGATGCCTTGCCCTTATCGGCATTATTTTTCAACTTCCGCTTCGGTCCAGTCTCTTATCAGGGATATAGACGAACGAGAGTATTCCTATGCCTTGTTCATAAGAAGGTGGTTCATTATGATTACTCAGAATTGCCGACTTGGAATCAGAATGAATGTCCAATAATTTAAATTAATTGATGTGACATTTTTATCTTCATGGATGGGTCGTAAAAACCAACGACTAACATACCGTAAAAACATATCCTTCAAACAATATGAGAGAATGGGTAACACCAAATTGGAAGTATGGCACAAATAATGATATGATTTTGTGCTACTGATACGGTATGTTAGTCGTTGTACTGATATAATTTATCAAACTCGCTATCTACGTTATCATTTTCTATTACGCACATATGTGTAAGCCAGTACGAGCGACAATATCACATAGGTGATCCGGTACATTCTATCCGTTCTAACACAAATCTAAGGTCACTAGGGAAGAGTTTGTGGGATAATGGACCTTTCCCCGACCTTTGACCCTCGAAAAAATTCTTCTTATACTTTACCATTGCAAAATTTTCGGGGCTATTTTAAAAGTGCTTTTGCGAGTTGGCGCCTGTAAAATGGGGTATGTGTTTCAAACCATCATTATGATTCATCGCATACAACTTTCTGTTTTTTGAAAGTACCGGTAAAGAATTTTAGCCTAGTCTATCACAGCTATTTCGACACTAATTTATTATTACTGCAATTTAATTAAAACTCATGGGAAAACAGGGTGATCATTGAATTATCTTATTTATATTAAAGTTTCCGAAACACAACTGAAAACTAACGAATAGAGTTCAAAAACGCAATAATGAGGTAATGTTTACGACCACGCTTGAAAATCTGTCTGAGTGAGAAAAGTGTCTGAGCGGATGCAAAAAGGGAGCATTGTTACGTCACTTTTTGCATCTTGTTGATTGGCCAATGTCACGAAGTAAACAGGAAGTCGATGCTCGGGGAAAGGTCCATTGTGTGTAAGAGATTGTTGGACAATGTCGTGGGGTTGTTCATGTAACCCAAGGTCGGTTTCGATTTTCTCTACCATCAAGTCAATGCATCTAGTTCACTTTTGCATATCGTATGGGCTGTCGTTCCGTATATTAAGCCAGTGGTTTTCAGCCTTTTTTAGTGTCGGGCCAGATTTCAAACCTCAAAGTTGTAAGGACGCGAATTAAAATAGCAACAAAACAAAACTGAGTATGTATTTTAAAATAACATCCCCAAAACTCATCTATAAACACCAATTTAACGCTAAACTTTTGGCATTGGCCTTGACTTTTGATTCTGAAACAGCGAGATGCGTATTTCATATTTCATAGTGTACTGAAAGGTAGGCTAACATTGTGTGTGTGTCCTACGATGACTTTTATTCAACTACTGCATTTCAGTCTTTCAATTTCAAGTCATTGATTAATTTTCAGTGAAAATGATACAACGCTAGCAATGCACTTTTCATAGCAATTACTCGGAAATGGCCATGTTGATACTGTAGTAAATGTTGCTAGAATACAACTGGAAATAGCTAGGGCTTGATACTTCGTTTGGTAATATGTTGTTGGTATTTTCCCTCTCTCATCTATATAAAAAAAGCGGTACTCCTGAAGTATGCGCATCAAGATGTCGCACAACCTGAACCCTAACCCTGTACAGTGTACACAACCGGGTTCACGTTGTGCGCCATCTTGGTGCGCATACTTCAGGAAGCCCAAAAAACTTTACTCATCAACTACTAATTGCTCTGAAATTTTCAGTGGTTAAAGATTGTCTTATTCGCTAGAAAGGCATTACTTTTATTATTTCCGAAAATTTCTGTGGGCTCTATGGGATTCGTTTTTTGTGTGCGATGACATCATCGATATTGAATATTGCCCACCGTGCCGTGGTTCTCTAAGCGCATTTCAGCGATTTCGTAGTCAGACTACCGGTACTGTAAACTAGTTGATGCTACTTCGTTTTCGCCCTCGTATGTCGTATCCATATAATTGAGCATTGATTTCTTGTTTATTTAAATATATTGATGCTACTTCGTTTTCGCCCTCGTATGTCGTATCCATATAATTGAGCATTGATTTCTTGTTTTGAATGGATCGATGATCCATCTTCTTCAATCGCGATTACACGTTTATTAATTTGTACATTGGTTAGAAATTATTAGACATTTGTGATAGGTTATGAACGAAGTGAGGATAAACTAAAGGAAGTATTGATTAAATCCATGTATTTACTAGCCTAGAAGTAAACTCGAGATTTTCCAAACCAGGTCGCGCGCTCGAAAGAGTCCATTTTAGGCGCACTTCAATGCATGATATATTCACCTGCTCATATATATATCCCGAGTAGAGTACTCTCATAAGTCCAATCCTAGGCGTGCCACATTCTGATTATCATGTTGTACTGATTGCACTCACTTTACCATACTTTTTAGTATTATTTTTGCAAGGGATACTTACGACTTACTTGTCCACAATTTTATGTTACCGATCGAATAAAAGAATAGGCCAAACCTTCTATCTATCATTACATGATTCATTTTACAGAGATAATGGATACTAGAGGTTCAGATCCCAGATTACAAGCGAAACAATTAAAACAACAGAATATCAAATGGCCGATTTGATTTATACCAACTATACAGTATTTCTTTATACAGACCTGGAGATACTGAGATGCCATCGATGCGAAGAATGCATCATTGTTACAAAAAATCCTACAAAAATTGGTTTATTACGGAAACACACAAGATTGCAGCGTATAGTCAAATTGATTTCTGAGCGGTTTAAAAATAAAAATTCAATACTTTGTTCAATCTGGGAAGTTTTCGAGTTCATTTCAAACTACTGCAACAATTTCAAATAATGATTTTTTGCGTCAAACATGTATCAATGGCCCTATTACACCGTAAACCCTCAATAGCGTATTAAATCGGACAATTTTCGATATCCTAATTTTCAAACAAACAAACATTCAAACATTTTATTTGTTTTATATCACACTTCTTGGATTGAATCATTAATGTTTTAAATATGATAATCTTATAATATAAATGTTGATAAACTGATGTTTTGTCAAAACATCCAACTTTTCGTGATACCCGAGGCAATATTTGCAGCGATTTTAGTATTTGTGGCACAACAGTCGTCAACAGAACAACGATACTTTTGTGATGAGATTTAAAAGATGATTAATATTTGAGAAACAAGGTTAATGCTATGTAAAACGCTCAAAAAGTACTATTCAGCGAATAATATTGCTGACATCTGGATGGGGAAATATTTTGACAAGAAGATAAATTTGACACGATAATAATATTTTACAGAGGGATTAATTGTTTTAAAAGGTTAATAAGAATTTACGCCAAAGCAACAGTTAGAAATGTGTGACATCATAATTGTTTGATTTAAATTATTCTATTAATTTTCTTTCAATTTTACTGAGTGCATCACATTGAATTGAGGAATATTGCCGGCTTATTCTTTGAGCGGATAGTGGGATCTTTAATTTTTGTTACCCAAGAAGTAGAGTTACGAGTGTCTAATTGCATATATTATAGTGAAACGATCAATTGTAATAAGGGAAGTTTAGCTATTGGGATGTAAGGATCTTCTTTACATATTTGGCCTTACCTTAAACGATTTGACCGTGTTTCGTCCTTTGTGCTTCTTTATCCGAGTTACTTTTGAGGTTATAGAAATTGGCTAAATCAGAAAATAACCCCATTCATTGCTCAGAGCAAAAAAAATTTGATTTTCCTTACTCCCCTGGGAATATGTCCATTATTTCCTATTTCATCATTTTTTCCACTTTTGGTAATTACTGAGACATTTTTCAGTCAATAGTTAAATAAGAATGTAAGTTTGATAATAATGGCATTTTGTGCCAAATAATAATTTTTCTAGTTTTATTTATTACATATTTTCTTTGGCAAGATGAAGTTTGGATTCGCTGTAATATTGTTGGCCTCCTTTGCCTTTTCAAGGGTGAGTAAATTTTTTATTGTCGACGTTTTGACAAAAAGGATCACACGCATTGAGATATGGGCTAATATTGCACTAAAAGAAAATCGAAGATCTAGTATGTTGACTTGCAACCATAATTTCAATATTCTGAAGCGAGTTTGAGTTTTTATAATTTTTTTTTAAAACATTTAGTTTGGAAAAATCTAGCGCATGGGAATGAGAGAAATGTAAATTTGCATATAGAATATCTTACAACATTTTTTGATTATTCATTGATCTCTGAAATCAAGGTCTAACTTTTGTAAAAATGATATGCCTTGGATTCCATAGGAAAGAAGTGCCGACACGCTTTGCATTGGATATAATATGCTCTTGTATTTACCATAATTTTCACTTTCAGATTTATTGTTCTCTTCATCATAAGACAGAAGGTGAGATTTGAGTTATTTCCACATAGATTTAGGAATTTTGTGTGTATTGTATACACGCCGATCTTAAAATTGTCTCTATTATATCACATGTCACTGGTAAGTTTCAAATAATTATTTTCAAATACACTTTACTCAATGTACACATTCTTATTAGATTCTAATTCTTGTTGAATATGTTGAATTCAGCATGTTTGTAAGATAGAATCTGACCATAATTCTCAATGTAGGTCCATTGGACGCTGTCGTCATTGCCAAGTTGCCGTTTGTGAGCGCCACGAAATTCGAAATATTCAAATGTATTACATTTAAATAAAATTAGTCCGTCTTGCTGTACATTTATGAAAAGTAAACTTGTGCTATCGATTGGGTTTCTACTAGACTAACTACTTATCCTTCTTCTAGGATTTTGTGCCGGTGGATCCGTATGCACATATTGCAAGGATGTTGTAGCAAGAGTAAAGATAACTATCCTAAGTCTTGCTGCTTACTATAAAAATGTATTTCTGTAACGTTTTCTCTGACCAAAGTAAGACCTCCCCAGAAAAACATTTATCAAACTGGTAGGTTGGCGAAACGTTAAAGAAATTTATTTTGTTAGTGTGCAGCAAGACTCTTGAATCGCTTATAGGTCTTAGGATTTTAAAAGTAATATCAACTTATATTGGCAGAGGAACTATCTGAATTGTTTTCAACATATGTCATTACAAGTCCGGTTCAAGTTGACTCAGATGGGAAATTTTTATCTTACGATTTGAAAACTTCAAGTATACGTAAGAGAAGATCCGCAGCACACGATCCCTGCAACACAACATCTTATGGACCATGTCCCGGTAATAAAGACAATGATATATATTATAATATCACGGCTTTCGGAGAGTCGTACCATATTGTTCTGAAGCAGAAAGATCAACTTATTGGCCCAAATGCCAAAATTGTCAGACATTTAACGAACACAAGCATTGAGGAAGACTTGATAAGACATGGAATATATGCTGGCTATGTTAAATATTTTGACAGAAGCAAAGTAGCAATGACGAATTTTGATGGATTGGTGAGAACTTACTTATTAATATAATCTTTTATTTGTGTGTGTTTCCAAGTTTTTTCTGTCCCTGGTTCGAAAAGGAAATCGAAGTTTTACCTGTGGTGTAGTGCTTCTATATGATATTGCGCTATGAACTTCTGGTTACTGTTTTTCATGGGTGTTTCATTGGTTTATTTATCAGGTGGACAGAAAAAAATGTATAAAATTCAGAAAGATTTGTTATTCATTACGTTACTTTTACGTTTTAACAAATAGCTTTTGAAAAAGCCTATTTATTTGTGTATATTTTGTACAATAAATATCTCGATACTCATCGCGGGTCTGGTGGGGATGTATGAAAATCCCGAATTTGATCCCGAGACATAGAAATCCCGAATTTGACGCTCGACACACGGGTTTCACAGTCCTAGGCTATTAACATATACTACTTCAATGATCAAAATTACATGAATATGCTTGTGTCAATATATAGATTTTGACTATATTTATTGAAATATTCATAGGCTGGATATATCAAAACTGACAAAGGTGAATATTTTATCGAACCAATAGAACAAAGTCAGGACGAGAATGAAATTGATATCAAACCTCAAAGACATATTGTTTATGAGAAACGTGATCTTCTTTATAAACCGGAAGGTTGGTGGATTTTCTATGTATTATCTGTAAGTGGTTGCACACTCGATGTCTCGGTTTAAGACTGGTATTATAGAATATATTACAAATAAATATATGAACTTTGCGATTTCATTTTGAAAGCAGTCTAATTATGATTATTTGCGTATACTACCCGTTTTGATCTGAATATAATATATGTATTGACGAACGAATACGAATTTAAAAAATATAAATTTATTATGTGTTTCACCAGGTAAAAAAGGAAACAGACAACAAACGCTGTGGCCAGCTGTGGAAAATATGAAATTTCCATCATATGAAATGCTCGATGACGGTGAGGAAATAAATTTCATTAAATGTAATAAAACAAAGGCGCATTCGTAAGGAATTGCCAGTCCATGCCATTCTATAGTCATCATTCAGTCCATATTCACGTGACGGTTAACCAAAATCGGAAGATTCCGGTCCATATAACAATCTGAAACACGTATAGTAAATCGTTTCTGTGTATCTGAATATTTATTTCTTTTTTTGTAGCCTTGTTCAGAGAATCTCATATAACCACTATTTGTATTTGCTGATATATAGTAATGGGTGACGATTTTAAATACAGTCCTTGACATATCTGATAAGCAATCGTTCAATCATTGAGCACAAATTTTAGCTTGTCTTGATAAACACTGCATGGAAATAAAACATCTTGCTCAAAATGTATTTGCTGAACTTGGGTAGATCAAAGTATTTCATATTATTAGAAAACATCTTCGATAACACAACTAAAAGATCCAAGCGTCAGGTCAAAAAGAAAAAGAAAATTTACAACATAGAAGTACTGCTGACAGCTGACGACACCGTCATCGAATTTCATGGCAATGACAGAGTTCAAGATTATCTGATAACACTTATGAATATAGTAAGTAAATTCTCTCTATCAGCTTGAGATATAATGTTATGGCGGTTCCGATCAGGAAGAAGAAAACAGATACTGATATGGCTCTATTCAATTTTGATATTACGCGATAACAACATTGCTGATATGAGTCACCGTCATCGAATTTCATGGCAATGACAGAGTTCAAGATTATCTGATAACACTTATGAATATAGTAAGTAAATTCTCTCTATCAGCTTGAGATATAATGTTATGGCGGTTCCGATCAGGAAGAAGAAAACAGATACTGATATGGCTCTATTCAATTTTGATATTACGCGATAACAACATTGCTGATATGAGTAAATTCGTCTCCACTAAAGCTTATAAATGGTTCATAAGAATGATAAAAAATAAAATTTTATTCGAATCTAAAATAAAAGACGAGTCAAAACTTTTTAGTACTCTTTGTAAGAATTACTGCGTCTAGCAATATATACTGAATTATCGAAAGCTGCCCGGTTAAAAATTACAATATTCGTTTTTAAAAATATTGATATTAGTAGGTCAGGGAAGTCGGACCCACTAATAAATTATTTTGAATAACTCTTTACAAAATGCCACAGCTGCATTTGTTCTACGTGTGATTTATGCACCCACCCTCCAGCTATCTTACCACATTTGCACATCGTTTCCATAGCAACGAATCAGAATTTACGCGCAATTTTCAGCTGAAAAATATCGGGGTAAGTTGAACATTTTGTGGGCAAGACGGACATACATCAAAAAAAAAACTTGATGGTGTCTGATAAGATTTCGGTCAACGCCTAGATGCCTTAGGATCAGGACTTTTAACATTTTGTTTAAACAGAGCATTTTCCTGCATGTTAACCAGTGTGTCCGTCTTTCCCCCTAAAAGATACTACAGGATAATTACTACAGGGGTAAGATGAGATTTTACGCCGCCCCCGACCTACTATATGAAAAATTGTCCCTGAACATTAACAATGGCGATGAAGATTTCACTATCAGCACCATTGATCGAAACATTCCGATACATATAAGATTTTGATATAGATTAACGATTTGCAACGTTAGTATTACTTATATCTCTGTCGATTGCCTGTGGCCTGTGTAACTACCAGGAGCAGAAAGAGCATTTAAGGCTATAAATTTGTTATCAATTGTTCAGGTTAATGAGATATATCATGACGACACAATCGGACATCAAATCAATATCATTATTGTTCGGATATCATTGTTGAACAAGAAAGATGTCAGTAACATGTTAATCACTTATATTAATATTTTTTGATTTTGCATTGCTTTTATATACACACGTTTTTCAAATTCTTCCAGATTTTCTAACAGTCTAACAATTCCATAAATTCACAAGTATTTTTCATGATCAGCCAATGAATAGAATTTATTGCTTGAGCTCAGAATTATTACTGAATTCGCTTGCATTTGACACGCAGAAAAATTGAAAAAAGTTTTTTGAAATTATCAATAATATTACTGCTAAAATCTTTGTAAAACTTGAATTCAGGTTTTATTTGTTTATCACGAAATGAAATTTCTGGAAAATTCTTCATTAGTCTAACATTGGTCAACGTAGTATTTTATCTTGAGCCTTTTCATAAAAACCTTACCACAGTGGTTCTCAACCTTTTATGGCTCGTGGCCCCCTTCCGGAGGCTTTTTGCACTCGTGGCCCCCCTGTTCACCATTCTGAAAAAAATGACGTGTTAGATTGTATTATGTATTTACGACCTTTTAAAGAATGCAAAAACAAACTACAGGCAAAAAAGTCAAAGCTTATTAGTAAATAATCAATGGGAATCTTGCGCTCGGGTCTGTCTAACTAGGTTCATTATATTAGACACCGTCTTTCATATAGCCAGGCAATTGTCACTGTCAACATCCGGACGGTTACTAGATTTTGCTTTGTTGGTAAAAAGATCAGAAAAAAAATAGATTGGCACAGATAGGTTGTGGCAAATTGAACTAGCAATGAAGAAGCTTTCTTACTAAGTAGTAGGTAAGAATCGCAAAGAAATAACCATAAACTCGAAAAGTCTTCTTTGCTCGATTTCAAAGCAAACTTGTTGGCAAACATAAGCAGCCATGTCACCAATGAAGCCAACGTAACTGTGGTTCATTTTCGTATTATGGGCATTGGGAATTTACATATAGGCTTCTGCAGTTATATGATATCGACGGTTATGTCGCAGACTAGCGAAACTGCCCGTCTGCAGGTTAGACGGCCCACCAACGAGCTATTCTGACTAGTAGATTCAAAATTCCATTATGATCAAACAATTCACACATACAAGAAAGTGAATACACCTCGTGACTGGAAACAATCTATTCAGGAAATAAAACTGAGGTGAACGGGGAATTTTCTTTTAAATGGAAAGTATGCAAATGAAGTCGCTTCACAATCAATTTTTAGCCTTGTGTCGTGGCCCCCCTTGAACTGCTTGGTGGCCCCCTTGGGGGGCCACCGGCCCTCGGTTGAGAACCACCGCCTTACCAATTCAAAAATCAATTTGTGTATTGGCTCAAAAATGTAGATGATAACTTTTGCTTTTCATACTTGACAGTCGAGAAATCTAATTGCACACGATGATCCTTCAGTAAGTCTTAAAAACGTTTGTAAGTGGGCACATGACATGTATAATGCTGGCCATGAAGATTCAGGAAGCACTTACGACCACGCTATATTTTTAACAAGACAAAAATTTGGGCCGACAGGAATGGAAGGTACGGTGTATTTACTTTGTTCAATCGCAGATTACTGCACTGAATTATGAAGTATACCAGTGTACCTCGGCATTTTCAAAAGATCTTTTTTTTTCGCATATTTATTTGTTATTATCAGTTATATTACTTTTATATATATATCATAGCAAAATGTACATTACATAGTTTCAATTCGAAGGTTACGCTCATGTTACTGGGATGTGTCATCCACTCAGGAGTTGCACACTCAATCATGAAGATGGTTTTTCATCCTCGTTCGTCGTTGCTCATGAGACAGGACATGTGTGAGTATGAGTATTTTTAGTGGTGTCGTTGCTTACGGTTCATACCAATTCAACTTACATTTAATGAACACAGTTTAGGCATGGAGCATGATGGCGAAGGTAATAAATGTGGAGACGAGACGAGTATGGGATCAATTATGGCTCCACTTGTTCAAGCTGCATTTCATCGTTATCACTGGTCAAGATGTAGCCAATATGAGTTGAAGGGACATATTCGGTATGAAAATGACATAAGTAACATATAGTAATTAGATTCTAAAAAGTCAACACAGCGTTCTGAGTCAAGAAAATTTGTGAGGGTAGTAGGGGAAGTATATTCTTCGGGGATAGTTAGATTCAACTCTCGGCTGTGCTTTAACATATAATATGAGAAATGCTTTTTTATTGTTCTTGCTCTACGCATACTTGGTCCCACTGGCTACAAATCGTGTGTAGGTTTTCACGACTAATTTCACTACTACATTTGACAGAAAGTTTGACTGCTTGTTGAATAATCCTCACACACCTGACTGGGGAGTCACTCCAGAATATCCTGGAGTTTATTATTCGTTGGATGATCAATGTAGATTCGATTTTGGTCCTGGATATAAGCAATGCATGGCTGTGAGTATGATCATCTTTTAGTGAGATTCGGCAAATTCCCTTATTCCTTCAATTGTGAAATTATTCTAGTTTTACATATGACAATATCGGGTGAATTTCCAACTATTTTATATTCATCAGTTTCAAAACCTGGATGTCTGTAGAACTCTATGGTGCAGTCATGACGATAATCCCAAATTTTGCAAAACTAAAAATGGGCCGCCTGTAGATGGAACGGAATGTGCGGAGAATATGGTAATATATGTATAAATGTAAATGGTAATTTTGAATTGGAATACGGGTGTAAATGGCAAGGCTCTATTACTACCTATTATGATTTAGTATGTAATAAATTGATCACAAATATGAGAATTTTAAACAAACTTCTGAAATATTATACAGATAAGATATTTGTACATAAAGTGAATCAAAATTTATTTTTAAACTCTCCACTTCCTAAATATTCTGATGATTAATGTTGTCAATTTTGGCAAATTTTGACGGTCCCAAATATTTACCAAAAACTTTAAATCTCTGTATTGAATACACATATTTGTATTATGTTTTCTGGTTTGGCAAATCGAGAATTCTTCCCTTTTCTTGCATTGAAGTCCTAATCAGATTTATATTTATTGTCTGTCAGTGGTGCTTCAAAAGTCATTGCGTCTGGAGAAATCAGCGACAAGGTCCGGTAGACGGGGCTTGGGGAGTTTGGTCAAGTTATGGAATATGTTCGAGATCGTGCGGGACGGGGGTCATGATGAGAACGCGTCAATGCAACAGACCTCGGTAAGATCCATATTCGCCACCCCCATATCTAAGATTCCAACTGATTTTCATGAAACTTTTAGATAAGAAACGCATGTATTGGCGATAGAACATACAATTTTAGATATTTCTAGTCCCTGCTTTCCTGATATTTATTTCCAATGAACTAATTTAACAAGTAAGTATCGGTGATTTCTTGTTAAAAGCAGACACCATAAATTCCTTTTAATCCAGAAGTTTAGGAGGTAATTCAGGATTCTTTACACAAACGTTAATTTATTCTATATTCTAGAATATGTTTTAAATGACATGCGTTCTGCGTCTTCCGTTTGATTCACCCTGTATTATGAATTGATTCACTTTTTCAATTTAGCTGAAACGTAAAACTAAGCAAAAGTTTTTGTTACATATTTGTTGATACAATCTTCATATCACGTCATGTGGTCTCTATATCTCTGTTCATCAATTTTATTTATTTTACTGAACTCGAAAAAATCATCAAAACAGGATGTATTTTACATAGTATTTGATTTTTCTTGAGATAATAACACACGGGTGGCATCTTTCAATGTACGTAGATAAAATGTGAATGCTTAATAGATTTAGCTTATTTGTTTTTACGTCTGGTAAAGGCCATCGGATGTAGTTTTCAGAGTTCAAAGACTTATAGATACATTTACCATTCTTTGTTTACGTTTTTTGTGCGGTAATACAAATTTAGTGGTGTTTGGAATTTGCGTTGTGTAATTTATGCGGTCACTCAACAACCTATGAAATAAGTCTTTCATTAAATGTACTAGAAAAGATGCGTTCTGACATAGGCTGCCTAATTTATTAGAACTTGGGTGAAGTGCTTGCGGTAAAGATAATTGCCCATGGTTAACCCTGATCCATGATTGCCACCAGGGCACCAGGTATATCTATGTTTAGAATATATAAAGCACAACCGGTGTTAAACGATGTAATACGATAATGTATTTTAACCATATCATGCTCGGAGGAAGATTTGCTTATAAACACGGCTCCGTGATGACAACGCACAGTTTTACATAATGTTTTACATTTAGAATCGGATAAAAAGGAAAAATTAACTCGAGGCACGTTATATTTTACAGGCCAGCATACGGGGGCAAAACGTGTCCCGGATTGTCCATCGAATATGGGCTTTGTAACAAACAATCATGCGTTGGATCGTACGATTACAGAGCAGAACAATGTATATACCATCAGAAAAAGGAATATGCAAATCGTAGACATACTTGGTTACCGTATGAAAGTGAAATAGGTGGGATATTGGGGTTGAACTGCTTTAATATTTCCCATAATCCCGAAAAAAATTTCATTCAAAGATAGCATTTTAATTATTTCATTTTGGGAGTAAAATGAGAATTTTTTTCAATGGCTAAAAACGTATCATGGATATGTATTATTTTTTTGTAGCTGATTTGAAATGCGAATTGTTTTGTACATCGAAAGAAACAAACACAATATTATCAATGGGGTCTCCTGTCGCTGATGGCACGAGATGCAGCTATGATGATCCATATAGTATTTGTATTAACGCAGAATGTATGGTAAGAAAGCCTAACCAGATATTTTTAATACTTTTATATTTTTTGTTCCATATTGAAAGCGTTTTACAAATTTTGATTGTCTTAGATTTTGGGAGAATTCCGTTTTTGTTGAGTGTTTCATCTTTCGGAACTCAGTTCAAAGTGATGATAATAAAAATTGCGTTGTACTTAATAATAAGTTTACCTCAAAATAATTTTACCTTCACAAGTGATCGCTCAGTGTTTCTCGTTCTGAGTAGCACTGTCAAACAATCGCACCTTTCTCGAAACAATCGCAGTAAAATTGTCGATATTTTATTGCAAAGTATTGGGTCAATCAGTAAGGTTGTTGATCGTTATAGCAATGTATTCGTAGAAAGTTGGGTGCGACGGTATTATTGGATCAGACAAGCGCGATGATGAATGTGGAGTATGCGACGGTGATGGGAGTCAGTGCAGACGAATAAACTCAACTTACAGAAAATTGATCAGAAAACCTCATAATAGTTGAGTATTGCAGTAATTATACAACATTTCTAACAAATTACGTGAATTCATTCAAGAAATAGCTCATTTATAGAGTCAATTTAGTTTGCACAAAAAAATTCAGCAGAAATGATTATTTTTCCATAAATTATCCCGATTCCAAATCACAGCGTTTCTAAAACAAAATTCATATTCCCGTCTCAAACAATAGTTTGTAACATATTTTTGGCATTAAAAATGTCTTAATTATAAAAATGAATATATACTTCGATTAGGTTACATGAAAATGTTTGCAATACCAAGGAAAGCAAGACGAGTTCAGATAAAAGAAGCAATGCCTGATCCAACCGATATCATAGGTATGGTTATTTTCCGTTTAGTGTTTTTTTTTTTTCAAATAAACTCCAATAAATAGACAAATTAAACTTCTAGTTTGTTCCCTAGTTTATCGGCATAAAATTCTGTCATCTTGTTAAAAATCTAGTCGAGCCAGTATTGAATATCCCGCAGGACTATGTAAATGATGTCCTTTGCGTGAATAAGATTTATGCAGTACAAGTACTGACTAGATATTCATCAAGTATTCCGACCGTTTTTTTTCAATTTGCAGCTTTGAAAAATCGACGAACTGGAAGGTATGTGTTGAACCAAAAAGGGTCTATAAGTGAAGGAGATGTCCAAAGACAAATAATCGATGCTGGTACTAAATGGACCTACACAAGAAATCGAGATAAGGAAATGTTACAGTCAGAAGGACCCTTGCAATCCGATTATGCTATAATGGTAAGACACAGCCAGGGATGGCCATTTCCGAATACTAAACTATTCCGAATACATTCTAAAATAATGTTTTCGAATCTGGAATTCCGAATACATTCTAAAATCGAAAATAACACATTTTTTTAAGTTTATTAAAAACAAGTAAAATAGGGACTAAGCTTCAATGGTAATACCAGAATAAAGCCACAAACCAACAGTATATGTGCACAAAGTAATTGATAGTTTATAGCTATCAATAAAAATAATAGCATCTTGTGACACAGTCAGTTTATTAAAATTGTACACTTGGTACAAACGACCATATGGAAAGATAGCCAAGGAGTTGTCTGACGCTTTCTATCATTGGTACCATGATATTATGATAATAGTCAAGTTTATTGACAAAAATACTATAGAGTAATAAAATTCATTGGCAATACAGGCAACTGCAGCAAGCAACAATAATCGAATATCCATTATGCCTTTACAAATTCTAATATTTAAGCCTAGAGTATTCTACTACCTACCAGTATATTTGTATATTAATTTATGTGAAGCATATTGTTATTATGTGTAACATATCGTTATATCTGAAATAAGCAATAAGTTGGGATGTAACAGCCACCGCGATTCCCCGCTCGTTCCGTCTTTTCAGCGTATAATGATCATTTATATATATAATATATATTAATTTTATGAGTCCAATGTAACTCGTGGTTGCTTCTTCTTACGTCAAAATAAAAACATTACTATTCGGTCGACAGCGATCTGTGGCCTAAAAGTGAAAGTTAAACTGCCTGATGTATTTAATTTTAATACGTATTTTTGCAATCTCACCAACTCGTTATCGCCGTTAGAAAAATCTCAATAACTGATATCGAATTCTGTAGAGTACAACTTCATTTCATACAATGAATATACATATAAAGTTTAGCAGGAAATTAAAAATACATATCGCGCGATTACTCCCCCTGTTAAAAAAACCGACTTTTACAACGAATAATATAACAACGAATACCGTATATATTTCTCTGTTGTGCAAAGTGATGAATTCGTGACCGATACGGGCATATTTAAAATGTCTTGCTTTATTAGTTTAATTGTTTTCAATTTAACCTGCGGTTGCTTCGTCAAAATAAAATCCTCACCACTCTAATATATCATGACAATCCGCGGACATAAAAATAAAAATGTGTGGTAAACTGCGCGGTTATATATTGTTTTGATCCGTATTTTGCGAATTCGGCAAATTTGAGATGTGTAACACTGACTCCGCTCAATCGAAATGCCGCCACTCCGATTATTTTTAAGTTAAAACCGTTCGAAAAATTCATAAATCTGCCGTAAAATCTCAGACTAAAATTTATTTCAGCACAATAAAAATTGATTGAATATTCTTTAGATTAATTATATTATATACATTCTCACAATCCAGTAAAAGTCGCGTTTCAAACCTTGTATAATGTTAACACAAAACTTTTCGACGGCAATTTAATTAAGGTAATGGATAATCAGGCAAATCAATTAGTGACGATATGTTTCTAAACGCGGACCAAACATAATTTGGAAATTTTGCGATTTTCACCGCCTAGAAAAGCGTTTTTTAAACTGTCGCGGGCTTCAATAAAACATATTTTGTTTACGGTTTTATTTTCAGTATTTTAAATTGCCGCTTTTCAATCAGAAAATTTGCGTTTTCTTTAGAAACTCGCCGCCGATGAACGTATTCACCGGATTCACAATTCCGTGCGAGTACAAAAATAGATAATTGTCATCGTTATCGTGGAAAAAATTTGTGATAAATTTTAGTTTTAGAGAAAATAAAACAAACGTAATGGCGTTTACGGCCTGAATAACACGTTACCCTGATGAGCGATGAAAACAAAACAATCACGCGCATGTTTCTATCGAGAATGTTTTCATTCAACGGAAACGTCTTGAAAGCGCGACGTCGAAAATGTGTGACGTCACACAAATATCCGATATTCTTATGAACGCTAATTCCGATATTCGAATAACGAGATATTCGAATACATTCGAATACTTTATTCGAATTGGCCATCCCTGGACACAGCAAAGAATGTGTTGCTTTACCGTAATACATTTGCTCAGATCTGAATCCCGTGCATGATGATTATATGCGAGTGGATTGTTGGACTCCTCACCGTCGCAAGCTAGTAATCTCTGGTGGGTTACAGCTATATAATTGAGACGTCTCGTCGGCTTTTATCCCCCCAGGGATAGATATGAAAATCCAATCCTGTTTACAAAAGTATCATGTTTCCCCGAAAATAAGACAGGTTCTTATTTTAATTTTCTTTCGAAAAATAACACTAGGGCTTCTTTGTGGGGAATGCCTTATTTTCATTTACCAAAAACAAAATTACAAAGTAGAGAATTACGAGATTTTTAAATATATATACAAAATATGAAAACCGACATTCATTTACTCGTAAATAACACGTTTTTATTTGAAAAACTGCTAAGCGTAGATTATTAATCATTTAAAAAGTGGGAGAGAGATTTTTTGCTATCGACTAAGTCAAGAAAAAAAATCGCGCTATAGACTAGGTCTAATTTTAAGGGTAAGGCTTATAATAAAATCATTTTTAAAACTCAGATAGGACTTATTTTCGAGGAAACACGGTATAACAGCTACTGGCACCTGAAACCAGAAATTTTAATGTAAAAAGATTTCTTGAGGCGCGTAATACGGCGACTTAGAATTCATGGAATGTTCATAATTTTTCTATTTTATTTTCGAAGATACCCGTTAATAATATTTCATATTATTGCATTACTGTGTTTCACATATACAGCTTGTTTCACGAAATCGTGGGAAGCGAGTAAGAGTTCATTACAGTTATGTACTGCATTCAAGCGCTGTAGAGAACGGATTATATCAGTATGAAATACGAAGATGGTATCCATGCTCCGTTACCTGCGGAGAAGGAACGAGGTTTGTTGTTATATAGCAGGGCTAATCAACTATTTCACCAAAGGTCGTACACAAGATTTGAAAATTACCGGGGTCATTATCACGTTTCGGTGGCGGTAAGACAAGGCATTCAATTGTGTAGCTGAGCGCCGACTTTGCTACAAATATGTGATATATTCGCCCCCATATCACCCGTACCTATTATATTTTTAAAAGTCTTCCAGCGACTTGAATTATCTCCATTATCAACAGCTGCTTAATTTATTCTGTCTGTATTTTCAAAAGTACCTCACTTTCTCAGGTTAGCCAGGTTTGGCTGCAGGAACAAGTGCACAAAGAAGTGGGTGCGAAAAACCTATTGCATTACTGTACCACCAAGACGAATACGTGAACGATGCTCCAAGGAATGCGAGTCACGAGCCAGGTAATGTTACCGGCATTCTACTACTATTATTTTGAGGTTTGATTAAACTATAAGCTAGTGATATTAGAAGACTAAATCCTTTATAAAATAATAGGAAGAACCAGTTGTTTTTGTAGACCAATAGTCGTGAATCACGTCGATAACGTTACTTCAATAAATACAAGTATATGCCTTAGACATAGATTTATTTATGGCTGGATTTTTGACCGTACTCATTCACTTATACGATACACTATGTCGCGTTTTATTAGCTTCCCCGAAGACTGAAGTTTTAAGTTCAGTAGCAATTTTTTTCAAGATAACATTACAGAATGTATATAAAAATATAATTTATTCTCTCTTAGATGGCATGTTGGGCATTGGAGCACTTGTTCAATATCGTGTGGTCAAGTTGGCAGAAAGACTCGAAAAGTTTATTGTGAAAGACAAGACAGTCATGAATCATGGGGAAAAACAGAAGACTTAGCATGCAGGAATATTTCGGCAAAACCATCATCAAATAAAGCATGTCCAAGAACAACATGTCCATCAGAGTGGAGAACTGGGAACTGGTCTTTGGTAAATTACAATTAGTCTCTTGTAGTGGGTGTGGATTAGTATCAACTAAGACCAAAATTTATATTTTCAGTATTTTTCCAGTTACTAAATGTTTCTGGTGGTCGGCGTTTTGATACCTATTTTAGACTGTTAGTGCTTTTGATATATCTGTGATCAATTTTTCATTAATAAGTTTCTTTTGGGGGCTTTCTCTTTTGAGAATTGTTGCTGTAAACTTTTAAAACTACATATTCTCAGTTGGTGCCTGCAGATATTTGCATAAGTTGGAGCTAAACTTTATACTCACATCATTACATCAACCAACAGTCAAAATATATAGGTCTTATAATGCTTTTGTCGTTGACTATATTATCAGTAAAATATGTATCATTTTGATAATTCAGTGTTCAGTTTCTTGTGGTAGTGGAATTCGTAAACGCCGAGTAGCATGTGTATCGACAGGTAAAATCGTTTCGGATGTTCAATGCTTGGGAACAAAACCGATGGACGTTGAAGATTGTCACCGACCAGGATGTTCTGGTGAGATATGCGATAATAAGCCACATTATTCAGCATGGTTAACTATTCAAATTTGGCAATTTCATTTGGTTAGATATTTCGATATTTATATTTGCACTATACAGACGGGAAAGAAAGTTGGTATTTTTATTTTTATAAGTTTCATATTTAATACAGGTCAAATACTTTATTAGTTTATTAAATCCAATTTATTTAGAGAAAATCTGCGAAAGAGATGAATCTAACTCTATCTGCAACATTGATTCAATGGCAAAATATTGTTCAGTAGCTGGATTTTATCAACTGTGTTGTCATTCCTGTAGATCCAGATACGCCAGACATAGCCAAGGTATGATGATGATTTTTCTGCTATAGTTCACTATTTTTATGGGTCTGAAAAAATAATCAGGGAATAATATGTTTCACATTTTTAATTTTTCATCAGTTTTGTTTTGATTATGATTGAATGCATGGGGCCGTATTTACGGAAAGGAATAGTAAATGGATCCGTGGTCAATGGATCTTCCTTTGAATAATTTTATGACGCTATTCCCATATTATAACGCCATGTTGCTGTAGTTCACTTCGTACTAAGTTAACATGATGCATTTTTGTTACATTTTTTGTACTATTTTCTACATTCCTTGTGATTCGACGTGGCCTTTCCAATCTGAACGTTTATAAGATTTCATCGATAAGAACAAAGATGTGAATTGGATAAATAATTGTCATATTTTCACCAATTATTTTTATTCATATTTGCAGGTACTCGGGTGCACAGAGCTACAAAGAATAATAATTCTCGATCTCCGAGATAAATACAATATTTCAAATTACAATATTATCTAACGACTCTAATACTGCGGTTAAAGCTATTTAAGACAAGAGAGCTGTGCTCAAATATATTGACACGTCACAAGGTGTCGCTATTTTTTATTCTGACACATAAAAAAACGAATCTCTTAAAGTCCACAGAAATTTTTGAAATAAGTAAAAGTAATAGCCATCTGGCAAAAATATCATTCTTTAACCACTGAAAATTTCATAGCAATTGGTCCAGTATTCGAAGGGAAAAGCGATTTCATCATGACGAAAGAGAAGAATAATACGAACAGGAACAACAACCTAATATTGAAACGATCGTTATGTACACTGACGTGTCCAATAATTTGAGCCTATCAAAACAAACAATAGGTTCTTCCCCCTCTAAATTTGTACCAATAGTACCAGTACCAACAGTCGACTGAATTCTGAACCACAGTGCAGACCTTTCTCAGGGGTAAAATTTTAGGAACCAGATTATCTTGCAATAACCAATATCGCGTACAGTGAGTTGCCAGGCAGAAGAGCGTTGCCAAAATACAATTTACGCTACTTCAAGACTCAATAATAGACTTATTATTAGCAACGAATTATAAATTTGGTGACATGCAAACAATATATATATAATACCACAAGCGCATTTATCAATTGTGAATTCTACCACTATACTGTACTTGCTCTTTATCGCATCGACTATGTTCCGAGCCAATCAGCAATAGCATAACAGTGTCGCCACAATAAGTTTTCAGCAGCTGCTCAGACACCCTTTCAACTCAGACGTCAAGTATGGTGAATATGTACTAGTTTCCGTCGTTTTGACTACCAGTTTCTTAGTAATGTGTCTAAAATTTAAGATAATCCATTTCATCTCATAAGAATCAGTTTACTGGCTGTAACCAATAACGGAACGATTTTTATTAGCTTACATATTCTGGACATTAAAATCTGGAACGCAAGCCGTCAGGTGGCACTGGTGTATCGTGCCTCTTCAATTGCGTTACCATAAAAAAATGATACGGCACGAAAATGAGATACTTTCGCTGGCAACTGTACGTACGCTTTACGTGATATTTTTTGCAGATGTAGTTCGAGGAGAGACATAAGGTGAAGAACAGAATAAACTGGGACCACAAATCAGATCAGCATTAAAATGAAACACGGGGCTTACGACGATGGTGGACCGGCACCAAGTTACTGACCAACCAAAGTGCCGTAGCGTATTAATGAGAGACAAGACTACAGTAGTCAAATAGTAGACCTCGTGGTGATCTTACGCAGCTGCGCACTGTATCGGACTTATTCTTATGACACGTTTGCTTGTGGTACTGGTACCAGTAAACTACAGCAAGCAGCAAACCCAAGTTATCGTAATTAGCAGTTAAGATTTTAAATTACCCCTACATTATGCGAAGTGCGTACCAATAAGTTATTTTTTGAACTGACGTACCGTACATTTACTGGATTACTATTCCACGTATATTGGATACACGTGGAAGGTAGGCAGGCACCCAGCCAAGAAATTTGCTAGTTTTGCGGCAAGTCAAAATTTATGGTAGCACGTATATATAGATAGAGTAGAAGCTTTGGCTGTAAAAAAATAATTTTGTCGAAAGACGTCTAGAATAGACGAGCCCTTGCCGAAACCTTAATAGGACTATTAGATACAATGGCGATACAACACCTTAGCACCATCGGTTCGCAATAATAGAACCTAGCAACTTGGACAATAGAGACCGTTTTTTCGTACTATTTGCATATTATGGCGTTTCCAGTGCTCAAGCTTTTTTCCGTAAACAGTGTTCTGTGCTTGAATATAACTAGAAAGAAAAAATACTAGGTTGTTATTATGAAGGTACACGGATAGGTAAAACTTCTTTGTTAAGTGCGTTTGGCAAGTTGTTGGTGGGGGTTAATTGGGCGTCGATCGTTTAATCACGCGAGAATGGTAGGTTAAAGTATTACGTTGACGGTTTCGTTGTTTCACGCGCAAGCGACACTTTCACTTATGAAATTTAGTACGTCGCAGTTGTGCGGATGAATAGCAATCTGCGGGACCACTTTATGGGCCCTAAAAGCGGAGGAGCTTGGCACAAACTTTCACAATCTTCACATTTCCGACAATTACAATCCAGCGACCACGAGCTCTGGAGAGCTTATTGGACACCGGAAACGGCATTCCAAGTGAACAACGATTCCTCAGTGTACGATACGACACCACCAACAAGCGGTACGAAAATACACATTTGCGTCAACGCAGCAATATTTCCTGTGTACCGTGATGCTCATAACTCTCAATTTAGCAAACAAGGAAGCTTTTGCCGTTTAGTTTTATTACACCAACTGAAACAAAATTAACTTTAACTGAACACTATTCCAGAACTTTTGGATTTCTGGACTTCCGTGCAAATGAAATTGCAGCTAAGGCGATAATTATCAACAGCAGCACTACAGAAATAGTTGTGGCGATTCCAATCTGGATGCGTCTGATTCCTGTTAAGTAGAATGGATTGAATTTCATAATGGCTTGAATGTAACGTTAAAACTTAGTCAAATGACGAAGACTCACCAAATTTTGCCACATCCGTTGCGGAAGTTGTAAATAACAGATTTTTTCCGATAGAGTTAATTGTGGGCGCTTTCGACTTCAGTAACTTAGGGTCATCGGAGTACATCTGCATTTCTGGTATCCCATTCGAAGCATTCAATACTAAATATAGTGGCCCGACAATAATATCATCCTTGGATGCGTATCTTCTCTTTCGTGTGGATGATAACCCATTCTTGCAGAACTGGTTTTCGAACGACGAACAGGACTGGAGAAGAATTAGTAATGTAACACGAGGAAGTAGTATGTCAGTCTTAACGAGTTGAGTTTTAAAGGAACTACCACACTAGGAACAAATACGTCCGAATATGTTAAAGCAATACTAATTATATATTGTTATAAGGTTTTCAATATTGTTAAATAAATCTGATAAATTCTGGCATATCCACCGTAAATACTAGGCTGTTGCAAATATTATATTGCTTCATAACAGCTAATTCGTTTAACCATTACCTGCAAATCTGCAGTCCTGCAAGGTTTCATCACGGCATGTATAAAGAAAGTAGTACATTTAAGATCCGGTACGGCAAATGACACGCAAACTTTAGAATGCCCCGATAATGAAACTTCGAAAGGAATTCCCGAATTTGCCTCACAACTTCCTCGTAGTAGATGTACGTCTGAATCAGAGCCGCCATTGGAGCAAGACAAATACAATTCATCCACGGTGCTAACCAAGTCCATGTTCTGTGTAAACGGAAGTAATATTATAATACTATACTAAATGGTGTTTCGCATTTTTCGCAAGAGTTAAAACTTAGTCTGGTTTCTACGCTAGATTTTATATTGCATATGTTCAATGACAATGGTAAATGTAGATATATATTACCTGTTCGCCTATGTCAAGTGACAGCGTTAAATGTAGATATTCACCAACAGAGTATGCTGCACCATCTGATAAGTTTAAATAGGAAGGACATTTCTCTGGACAAGATGGCGATTTACAAAGACCGATGTGCGGCTTCAGCTCAAATGTGTTTGAGATCCGTGTGATATCCACACGCCTATAAAAATAGGAAATAATTAATAAATCTGTAGGAAAGAAATGTATATTGATTGAGTAATTATACACTTACACTGGTCTTATCGATGTCACAACTTCGTACTGCCTCGAATATGTACACTGAAAATGCGCAGCTGGTATTGGAACATCAAATCCACCTGTAAGCACTTTGTTGTACCACACCGTGTTCCCGAAAACAACATCGCCGTTTGATGAAACTTGCGATGTCATCCCACACCCGTTGAACGGTAGAGGGATTGAAAAATCATAATTTCCGTTCGTGGCAACCTTGGCTGAAATTAGATCGTTAGTGGCAATAAAGTGTGGCGATGGTAAAATGCCAGTTATGCAATGAAGGATATCTGCCGCTGGCCCACTCCCTACTTGAGCTAACATTTTTGGCCAGAGGATATCACTACTTACTAGCCTAAAGCGTCAAGGCGATGACCATTACCATATTTGCTAAAATTCATCATAGTATCGATTTCAATACAATTTAGCTTGAAAACAAAAGATACTTACCGACACAGCTAGACTCTTCAATGCCAGGAGCAGGAGACAGAATTAGAAAGCCGTTTGCAATGCCAAAATTATTTTCGATGACAAACTCTTCGGATACGGAAATTTCGATACTATTTGTTCCACAAACCAGGGTCGGTGCACCTAGAAAATTACACAGAAAAATACACAAAGTTGTATTTTAGTAGAAAGCATTTCCATTAAGTTCTCAGAAAGTACTTTTATTAGATATGCGGGCGTTATTTAGATTTACCGGTATTGTTGGGCATTTGTTTTCATTAGTTCAGATCCTTTTACAAAACGGCTGCAGCTTACAAGGAGAATACTTACGTATAGAGCAATTCTTTCCTAAAAATCCGGATTCACTTTGACAGAAGTAACCGTCAGCACGATTGCATGACAACTCACAAGAACAATCTTTCAAACATGGATTAGGATCACAAGGAAAAGTTAATTCTGAAGTTCCTATGAATTCTAAAAAAAAAATATATAAATATATATAAAAAAAAATAATTTTGTGGATCAACTGCTATGGCACAAATTTGGGTTTAAATTATCTCACTTGTACAAGATTCACAATTGTAACCGGAACACCCAGGCGGACAATAACAAATTCTCGTATCTCCAAGGTCAACACAGGTTCCATTATTCTGGCAAGCTCCCTCTTCACAATTCGGTCCCTGCCTGTACTCGTATCCCAGCCCTAAAACCAAAAGCCATTGAATTAAGCCCAGCCTAAACATGGTAGGCTGCATTTTCTTTTGTATACCATGAATCTCCTGTGTGACGTGGACGATTCATCGTGAAAGCACAAGGTATTTTTTTATAGCGGATACATACCGTAACAATTTTGACAGATTTGCCCACTGCACCCCATCGGACACCGACAGCGATACAGAGCTTGTAAGGTCGGGTCAATGCTGCGGTCGACGCAGTATCCACCGTGAAGACAAGTGATTGAATTGGTTGCACAAAAACCTGTAGCTATATAAATATTCACATCTGGAAAATAATGTACACCTACATAAAGGTGCAGAATAAGCAAGCGGTATACGTTTGTCACGCAGACGAACGTGGCTAAGAAACTTTACAATTTTACTAGACCTAATTTTTAATAAATATTATTTCTAGAATTTAACCTGATGGAATGTGGCACCGATCTCCCGTATATCCGCTTTGACACCGGCATTTGTATAATGACACAGAAGAATCTTGAGATCTGTCCACACAAACTCCTCGATTCAGGCATAGATTCGGATTTTGAACACAATATCGACCAATGTTAGCTTAAAAAAATGTAAGTTCAGTTATTTATTATGTACAACTCTGCTCCCTTTCACATATATATATATATATCTGTAGTTACCTGTTCCGGAAAGTTCGCAGTGATCTCCAGAGAATCCCACGGGACAATCACAGACGTACCAGGAAACAAGTTCAGGTCGAGTTGATCTGTCCACACACATGCCGCGGTTCAAGCAAGGATTTCTGTTCATTGCGCAGTAATAGTTTCTCGTTCCACTTGATCCTGAATAATATTGGTTACTAATTAGCAAATGCTAGTGTGTTGTGTGTACTTGTCTTATGTATCATAATGTAATCAAACACAATCCCATTGTACAGGTCTTCAACCCAAACCCATAAATACAATGCTTCTCACCCGTAAATTCACAATGATCTCCCGAGTATCCAGATTGGCACTGGCACACGTACCACGACACAATGTACGGGCGTGATGAACGATCTATACACATTCCATTGTTTAAGCAAGGATTCCTATTCACTGCACAATAATTGTTGTTTTTCTGTTTATCTTGATCTGAAGAAGTAAACATTACTTTACTTTTGAGTACTAAACTCATCGGAGATGGGTATAAATGATTAGGTCTCCGAATTAAACCAACTGCCAATGCAGCGCTCTCTCTCTCTCTCTCTCCTGCTGCCCTATTTCAGCTACACGCTAGATCAAAAGTTTCATCTCGCATGTATAGTTGAAACCAATAACTTTTTTACCAGTATATTCGCAGTGGCCACCAGTGAATCCGGAAGGACAATCGCATATGTACCAAGATGTTAATATTGACGGCCTAATTGAACGATCGATACATCTTCCATTATTCAAACAAGGATTTCGGTTCACTGCACAATAGTTGTTCCTTTGGCCACCTGAATCTGAAAATGGAAACCGCAAAAGCATAAAATGGGTAATTAAATGAGAAAGCGTTTTCGCCCGGAATCTGAACGAAAATCGGTGTTTATTCTGTGTCAATAAGGTGTCTACTCGCTAGATATTGACCCTAAGTCGCTTGTTTCGCAAATTTCCAGGACCGCCGATGGAACGAACTTTGACAGTTCGTTAATTTTAACTTTAGATTTAGATTATAAACTGGCTATTATTACGACCGTCGTTAGACGAGGTTCAGCAGCTGGTACGTGACACGTGACAAGTTTCTTTAATACCTTACCAGTATATTCACAGTGATCGCCAGAATAGCCGGAAATGCAGTCACATGTGCACCAAGATACTATTGAAGGCCGAGTTGAACGATCAACACATAATCCATTATTCAAACATTACTTTAAACAGTAGTCCTTTTTTTTAGTTCAAATCCTGATCAAAATTTCACCCGATCGGAATTTTTCCAAATGTTGATTTTTTCACTTTGTCGGGAGATTATCAGTAGAGAACGTGGATAATTCAAAAACTTTAATCACTCGAAAACAAGTATTTTTTGGGAAAATAGGACATAATTATTCGAGAACTTAAAACTTAAATACGTGCAACTTGTTTTGCAGAAGCACAGAATTCAGGTTACCAGAGTCTAGATTCGAATCAAGCGATCTAATCAGGTTTGACGAACACAAACGTCATGTTACCGAATTAAATCCTATGAATTTAACCGTATTCAATCTTACCTAGTACCTACGGATTACCCAATGATCCTATTTGCTTGGATCATTTAAAGGAGGCGTTCGACTCAGTGCGCAGTTGGTGCATGTAGGTAAGTACCGTTACACATCCCTTGAAATAATAAATTCTTACCAGTATGTTCACAGTGGTCGCCAGTGTAGCCGGAAACGCAGTCACACGTGTACCAAGATACTATTGAAGGCCGAGTAGAACGGTCAACACATCTGCCACTATTCAAACAAGGATTTCTGTTCACTGCGCAATAGTTATTCCTTTGATTGCCAGAGTCTAGATTCAAATCAAGCAATCTAATTAGGTTTGACGGACACAGACACAAACGTCATGTTTATGAATTGAATACTATGAATTTAACCGTATTCAATCCTACCTTTGGATTACCCAATGATTAGAGTTACAATATTTTAGTGACTTCAAAGCGGGACGCCTCATACGACCACATGACCCTTAGCTGGAATTTTTCAACTTAACATTGTCCGCTTCTACTACATATGTCTACATTTTTAAAGCCATCCCGACTGTCTTCATCGACCATATTGTCATCGAGAGTTCATGCGCATATTCTTTGTCAAAATATCGGTTTCAGTTCGAAAAATAGAAAGGGGAATTGTCGATATCGATACAAAAATAATTCGGATTTAGTCACACCATGATTGCAGTGCACTTTATCATTAACGTTTCTTTTGTTTAAATTATTTGTAAATGTACATTTACACGCACACGTAACAAGTTGTACCAATTATCCGCTAACTAAACGAAACAAACAAAATCACACATCCACATTTAGTAAGTAGGCTATCGGTACGCTACACAGTAACAACAATGACGAGAACATACTAATTGGTAATTTTTGTGCATTATGCTGGCTGAACGCCAAAGCGGTGACTGACCGGTCGGGACCCGGGACAAGGCGTTAAATAGCGGGAGGACTGTCTCGTCTGAAACGGGACGTATGGTTAAAGCCTACCAATGATCCTACCTGCTTGATCATTAAAAGCGACGTTCGACCCAGTGTGCAGTTTGTGAATGTAGGTAAGTACCGTACCTTACCTCTTGAGATAATAAATTCTTACCAGAATGTTCACAGTGGTCGCCAGTGTAGCCGAATACGCAGTCACACGTGTACCAAGATACTATTGAGGGCCGATTAGAACGGTCAACACATCTGCCACTATTCAAACAAGGATTTCTGTTCACTGCACAATAGTTATTCCTTTGATTGTCAGAGTCTATAACGGAGGTTCAAAATGAAATCGATAATATTGGCCACGAAAGAAAACATTCAGTGCCATACCCACTGCAACTTATTTTTTAGTTTTAAATCCTGATCAGAATTTCATCCGATCGGACAATTTCCAAATGTTGATTTCACTTTGTCGGGAGATTATCAGTAGAAAACGTGGAAAACTTTAATCACTCGAGAACTAGTATTTGAGAAAACAGGAGATAATTATTTGAGAATTCAAACACGTGCAACTACTTCTGCAGAAGCACAGAATTCAAGATACTGTACCATTATTCAAAGGATTTCTGTTCAATGCACAGTAGTTATTCTTTTTGATAAACGAAAGTCTAGATTCAAATCAAGCAATCAAATTAGGTTTGACGGACACAAATCTCGCGTTACTAAATTAAATCCTCTAAATTTAACCGTATTTAATCCTAGCTTCGGATTACTCAATGATCACATTTGCTTGATCAATGAAAGAGGCGTTCTACCCAGCGTGCAGTTAGTGCATGTAGGTAAGTACCGTTACACCTCTCTTGATATAATAAATTCTTACCAGTATGTTCACAGTGGTCGCCAGTGTAGCCAAAAACGCAGTCACACGTGTACCAGGATACTATTGAAGGCCGAGTAGAACGGTCAACACATCTGCCACTATTCAAACAAGGATTTCTGTTCACTGCACAATAGTTATTCCTTTGATTGCCAGAGTCTAGATTCAAATCAAGCAATCTAATTAGGTTTGACGGACACAGACAAAACGTCATGTTAATGAATTAAATACTATGAATTTAACTGTATTCAATCCTACCTTTGGATTACCCAATGAATAGAGTTACACAATATCTTAGTGACTTCAAAGTGGGACGCCTCATACGACCCCATGACTCTTAGCTGGAATTTTTCAACATAACATTGTCCGATTTTACTACATATGCCTACATTTGAAGCGATCCCGACTGTCTTCATCGACCATATTGTCATCGAGAGTTCATGCGCATATTCTTTGTCAAAATATCGGTTTCAGTTCGAAAAATAGAATGGAATTGTCGATATCGATACAAAAATAATTCTGATTCAACCACACCATGATTGCAGAGCACTTTATCATTAACGTTTCTTTTGTTTAAATTATTTGTAAATGTACATTTACACGCACACGTAACAAGTTGTACCAATTATCCGCTAACTAAACGAAACAAACAAAACCACACGTCCACATTTAGTAAGTAGGCTATCGGTACGCTACACAGTAACAGCAATAACGAGAACATACTAATTGGTAATTTTCGTGCATTATGCTGGCTAGTTGAACGCCAAAGCGGGAATTTCGACAGACCGGTCGTGACCCGGAACAAGGCGTTAAGTAGCGGGAGGACTGTCTCGCCTGAAACGGGACGTATGGTGAAAGTGATCCTACCTGCTTGATCATTAAGAGAGACGTTCGACCCAGTGTGCAGTTAGTGAATGTAGATAAGTACCGTACCTTACCTCTTGAGATAATTAATTCTTACCAGAATGTTCACAGTGGTCGCCAGTGTAGCCGAATACGCAGTCACACGTGTACCAAGATACTATTGAGGGCCGGGTAGAACGGTCAACACATCTGCCACTATTCAAACAAGGATTTCTGTTTACTGCACAATAATTATTCCTCTGATTGCCAGAACCTTAAAGTTGCATACAAAAAACGTAAGTTGCTGATGCAGTCCGTGAGGAAGAAGACTTCGATATATATATTATGTTTTTACCATCGAGCAGTTTTATTATGAAATGACAATAAAATTAACAAAATCTCACTGACAAATTCGAATGACCGAATGCGACTAATATTTGCGTACTAGTTTGACAAATATCTTTCAAACATTCAAACAGTACCTGTCAATTCACAATGATCTCCGGATAATCCCATAGGACAATCGCACGCGTACCAGGAAACTATGGAAGGGCGAGCTGAACGATCTATACACGATCCACCGTTTAAACACGGATTCCTATTCACCGCGCAGTAGTTATTTCGCTGCCCACCTGATTGGCCTGAGAATACAAAAGGCAGGATTGATTGATCTGATAACGGTTGTAAAAAAACGTATCTATTTCTATTTCTTGCGCAGAGTGCTACTACGTCGTATATTGCACTACAGCGTCAGATCTACCTCAATTCACAAACAAAATTCGGGCCAAGGAGAAATTTTAGACTGCATCATGGCACCATTTTCTCCACCGTAAACTCATTTGACATTGAATGTTCCAAATGCTAAACTTGCATCATCAGTAATGGTATATTAAATGGTTTATAAATTCTAAGATAATCTTGCCCTTACCCGAAGTTTCGCAATGATCTCCTGAGAAACCGGATTGACAGTCGCACACATACCATGACACTATTGAAGGTCGAGCTGAACGATCTACACAAGATCCACCATTTAAACATGGATTTCGGTTTACTGCACAGTAGTTATTACGTTGTCTTCCACCAGATTCTGTTGGAATAGTATACTATTATGATTCATTTCCTTACGAGCTGATAGTTAGTGCTTCACAGAAGTTGCGCCAATGTTGTCTTATGTTCAGTCGGTTAAATAAAAATAGATTTGTGGGAGTGTAGCGCCATAATCAAGTACTACACTATTATAGATCTAAATATTTCCAACGTTAAAATACAATATAATTTCTGGATTAATAACGTAGATGTCGTACAGGCTATTGGATGTTAGTCGACCTGTTCACTCCCTTATGCAAAATGGGTACAAACTCCCAAAACGAAAATGAACGAAAAATATTTTATCATATACATGCTTACCTGGCCTGTTGAATTCACAATGATCTCCCCTAAAACCCGCAGGACATTCGCACACGTACCAAGAAGCAATGGAAGGCAAAACGGACCGATCAAAGCACAAGCCACCGTTCATGCATGGATTTCTGTTAACCTTGCAATAATCGTTTTTCAACCCTCCGCCAGACACTGTTGATTAGAATTATTAATGGTAATACAAATTATGTGTTCAAAATAAATATATATATATGAATAAAGTACGAGAGGGCGAATAAGAAAGTTTGCCTGTCGGGCTCTGACGAATACAGGTAGAATGCGAGATATATTTGCAGAATAAATGCGATACAAATGAAATTATTTAATATAAGACGAGTGCTTTTTTGGGTTAGCGTAAGTATTCCAGTCTTGTATTTTTATGTTCGGGTGCAGTTTCGGACAGATGGAAACTGGACTGATCACAGCTCTGAGAGAGGATATTTATAGTTTGTTGAATAATGGGAGATACATGCCATACTGTATGAACATTTCAACTTTTTTACTCAAAATTTCAACCAACCTGGAGAGCCGTATTCGCAATGATCTCCAGAAAATCCAGGTGGACAATCGCAAACGTACCACGAAACTATTGATGGACGGACAGAACGATCCGCGCAACGGCCACCGTTTAAACACTGGTTTCCAACCACGGTGCAATAATTGTTCTGTCCGATACCCACATGTTGAGCTGAAATGTACGATCCATTAGACCAGGGGTGTGAAACCTTTTTCGCAGGCGGGCCAAATATCAATAACCGGCTGAAACCGCGGGCCGCACCTACATTTAACTCAGGCTTTCTATCAGTCGCAGGCACAAAATGGTGTTTTTTTGTCATTATGGAAGTGCTAGCAAATCGATATGACGCCCACTTTAGAAAAAAATATGTTACCATGAAGTCCTGACTTTTTTTCAAATGTGAATAGTTATCTTGGTTGAGATGTTTTCAGTAAAATACGCCAAGATTCATTTCCAAATAATTTGGTGTCAAATCCTATTTTAGGTTAGATTTAGACAAAATCAATTGATAGGCTGGAACCGAAACTCATATAGCTTTTGTATCTTTTTATATTATAAATTTTTTTAAACTGCTCTTCAGTTGCCTCCGCGGGCCGCACAAATTTCCCTTGTGGGCCGCATTTGGCCCGCGGGCCGCACTTTGCACACCCCTGCATTAGACCACTAACTATGATTGTTAAAACTAATTAAGATAAAAATTGATAGATCAGTGAATTACATATAAACCGATTGTGAATCTTACCATTCGCAACCAGACATTTCATGACGCTCAGCGCAAAGATCCTGCAAAATAGCAAAGTTAAACAGATTAATAGGCAGTGGAAGATGTTACAAATACATAATTATTTTAAATAGTGCTAGAATGTAAAAAGTATTTAGCAGCCATGCGGACAGCGAATCTACTGCTGCTATGCGGTTGGAACGAAGAAAAGGTTTTTATGATACTACTAGAAAACGAGAAGACATAAATTAATATCGACGTGAACACCAGTTTCATAATTTGAGGTTCGTCTTGTGATTGTATTTTTGAACGTTGATTTTTTCACACTCCAATCTGAATTCAACGTGGAAATCTAACCCGCTTCGGTTCCGCCGGTTTTTGTAGATCGGTTTGAACGAGCTGAATAATAAATCTAATAATATCATGCTACTATACTCACAGAAATCCAAAAGCCGATATTTCCATATTAATTGAGTAACGAAGGAAAAAACTTTAACAAAAATGTTCCAAAACTACCAAAGTAACCCAACAAAGAAAACCAACGTCTTTACAGCGAACACAAAAACAAACTAAGACTCCAGGCCTACACATGTTGGAAGCCGTTCCTGTGTCCGCGTCACCTTGTAATAATTGCAACCAATTATATTTTGCCAATTCCGTATTTCAACTGATTGTTTGTAAACAGTTGCAGCTGCTAACTAAATGAGCAGATACAGTCAAACGTTAAGTATATTGGGTTTGGGGTCAAGTGTTTTCAGGCTGATAATTGCACCCTCGGAAATGAAATAAAATAGCAAAATATTTCTGTGCGTGGACCTTTGGCTTCAAAGTTCATGTATTTAATTACCGATTTTTCTCTATTCATTCTATGAAATTGGATGAATGTCACTGAAGAGAAATCGAGACGAAAACGAGTGTTGAAGGGATACGTGAAAACGAATGGTTTAAAGCAGTATGCGCGACGTGTAGTTAGTTATACGTGAAAATTGTCTTACTTTCCAATAGGTAGGCATTCACAATTTTGCAGAAGTTTAAGCGTGTGTTAAAAACTGCTCTACACAATGCATCATTATTTAGGTTGTGTTCTGTACTGCTTCCTATAATTTTGGTAATATATATCTATGTTATTGGACACGAAAGAATCGTTATGTTATAATGTTGTTGCTGTGAAAAAATCGCTTTCACTTTAACTACAAGAATAATTGCTTGCACTTTTCAGTGGTTTAAGCTTGCTGTTGTCTCTAGAAAGCTATTCCTTCGTGATTCTATTCAATCACGAACTATCGAGCTTTTGATAACAGAGATCTAGCTTAACCAATTGTGCCACCGTGCCAACCAAAATTCGAGCCGTCACGCCCTTTATTGTAACGCATGCACATTTGTAAATGTGTACTTATATGGACTCTCTGTAACTCTCCGATAGCGCCAAGGCTGTATTGATAACAAAGAAATATTTGCTCTCAGTCCCTGTGAATGTTATAAGTCGTATAATCACAATAAATTATGAATAAGTAGTATTTAGACTTACATGGCTTGTGGATGATACATTATTTACTTCTGAATTTAGCCATCTGTGGATCATACTCAGAAAATAACAATTCTTTATTTGATATTTCCTCTGCCAATAAATAAACTAAAGATCTCAATATCCGTTTTGTCATTCCCCAAATTATATTAACTTCTATAAAATGCAAGTAATGCTGCTTCTTTATAACAATGCACACTAACCATTTGCTATCAATATATTCTAAAGTAGACCCTGCAACGCTATATTTTTTTGCATTTAAAAAAAAATAAAAAACTTTTTTCAATGTACGAATTTATTTATTGTTCTTCCAATGATTAACCGGTCGTCCAATTGAAAAGGTTACTAAAATGTATTGAAAATAGCACTGATAGATAGATTTTATAGTTTGGCCTCGTAGCGTATTCGGCCTAAATCGTGAATCTCTAAATAAAATAGTAGTAGTAATAGTAAAGTGCCAAAAATATAACAAAATAAACAATTTAGAAACATTTTCTGTGGACAATTGAGGGACCAGATTCGTCGTATTCTTGTTTGGTGATCCACATCTGTTGGAAAGTGGAAAGGGAAGCAAGAATGGATCCTCCGATCCAGACGGAGTATTTCCTCTCTGGTGGAGCGATGATTTTGATTTTCATTGTGCTTGGTGCAAGAGCAGTGATTTCCTTTTGCATACGATCAGCAATACCTGGGTACATGGTGGTACCTCCGGAGAGAACGTTGTTGGCGTACAAGTCCTTACGGATATCAATGTCGCACTTCATGATGGAGTTGTAAGTTGTTTCGTGAACACCGGACGATTCCATACCTAGGTGAATTTGACGAATTCGTTAGTGTGAAAATAAAACGCAGATTTTTAGTGCCTTTCTAAGAAAAAACATATACAATACCCGCAAATTTAGTTTTAAAAATTATTTGCTTCTGACATACGTGGCTACGACAAACAACCGAATTTATCCTACAAGTTCCACGATATTTCCACAAACCCTATTTACTGCGGTGCAGTATAAATTTGCCCAACTACCCATTTCCCACTATTACTTTGCCTCAAATTTGATGTTTCATAATATGAAATAAAGATTGATTCATAGCAACTAGTGGTGTATACTACAGTCTACAGAACATTTTATGGTGCAGAACAGTTTTGATAATGTTGCAAAACGTGAAACCCTAATATAGGCCCAAGCGTGTAAAATTTAAACTCACCGATGAATGATGGTTGGAACAAGGTCTCTGGGCAACGGAATCTTTCGTTACCGATTGTGATAACTTGACCGTCAGGAAGTTCGTAGCTCTTTTCGAGAGAAGATGATGAGGCAGCAGTTGCCATTTCTTGTTCGAAGTCAAGAGCAACATAGCACAATTTTTCCTTGATGTCACGAACGATTTCACGTTCAGCTGTAGAGGTAATATTTTCGTTTGATTTGAGCAATTTGGTTTTGCGATAGATGGATTTCAGGCACAGCATGGACAACGTAAACCGTACATATATGCCGGCAGTAAACTAGACTCACGGTGATAAAGTTGAACGTCTGCCGAGGCGACCATACAAAACTAATGATTCGCACAGACTGCATTCATACCAAAATTTTAAAATCAACAGCAACAGCAGTACATAGGAAGGATTAATATGTTGAAAGTCAAATTATCAATTACGTTGTACCGGTAGTATATGTAAACCACCTTGGGTTGCGAAGAGATTTATAAAAACATGTGCTGAGTGTAAGTAGTATGAAAGCCATTACTTGAAATAAATAACAAATTCTGTTTTGTAAATCAACAAACCTGTTGTGACGAAAGAGTAGCCCCTCTCAGTCAGAATCTTCATCAAGTAATCAGTGAGATCGCGACCGGCCAAATCCAAACGCATGATTGCGTGAGGAAGCGCATAACCTTCATAAATTGGGACGTTGTGGGAAACACCGTCACCGGAGTCGAGCACAATACCTAAACAGAGAAGATACAAATTTGATGAATGTGTCAAAAGTTATAAACATTTCGTTTACAACTTTAATCAGCAACCAAAAGGAAGTAGACTTTATATGAACATAAACTAAAGAAGTTCGTCGGAATAGTTTACCTGTAGTTCTGCCGGAAGCATAGAGGGAAAGTACGGCCTGGATGGCGACGTACATTGCTGGTACGTTGAAAGTTTCGAACATAATTTGTGTCATCTTTTCTCTGTTAGCCTTAGGGTTGAGTGGGGCTTCAGTCAGGAGGACGGGATGTTCTTCTGGAGCAACACGAAGTTCGTTGTAGAAGGTGTGATGCCAGATCTTTTCCATATCATCCCAGTTGGTGATGATACCGTGTTCGATGGGATATTTCAATGTAAGAATACCTCTCTTGCTTTGAGCTTCGTCACCAACATAGCTGTCCTTTTGACCCATACCAACCATGACGCCCTGTCATCGAAAATTGAAAAGAATCCAGTAACAAATTTGTACTAGACAATGAAAATGAATCAACGTCATTAAATACATCACTGAAAAAACAAACAAATAAGCTATCAACAGCTTCTTATGGCGTTTAATGTCCATTGTAAAGGTAAAGAATTTAATAGTCGTAGATCAAACAATTACACACCTGATGCCTGGGTCGTCCAACGATTGATGGGAAGACTGCTCTTGGTGCGTCATCTCCCGCAAAACCGCCTTTTACAAGACCGGAACCGTTGTCGCATACCAGAGCGGTCTGTTCTTCATCTTGATCGTCTTCCATTTTTTATTGTTTCTAGTATAGAATAAATATATATATTAATTTTTATTGGTATGAGTATAGTTTTGAGTGAAAATTGCAAATAATATATATTGTATTATTCTTGGGTATTTTGCTGTTTATTGTTTATTCAAACGACATATCGACGGCGTGCCGAGGACATATAGAGTTGACTACTACTCCAGGTCCGAAGCCAAAAGTAGAAACCCAAACATGAAAAACTTTGCTTTGAGTCCTAACCAAACCCAAAGCGTGAATCAACCCAAATTGTTACCAGCCTCACACTCCGTTAATACTACGCATCGTAACAGACTAATTGTGTTGTTGTATTATAAAATGAACTTCCCACGCGAAGTCATGTATCATAATTTAAATAATATTGTGGTTTGATCGACGAACTGCGAATATATCTTCCGCTGTATTATTGTTTTTCCATCGTATGTAGAAGATTCTTCAGCGTAATTCAAATTATATTTTTGTATACTATGGTGATTGTGCGATATAACATTAGATTCAATACATCCCCGCTCTGCAAGGCGTGTACTCGGATGGCTTTCCATATATGGTTCAATGTTCCCTAAGGAGGCATGCGGGCATTGACAGTCGTTATCTCGTTGCAAAGAGACATGATACCGTCATCTTATTTTAAAATAGTAATATGATCTCTCCCTCCCGCTATTCTCTCGTTTTCTCTATCATGGGATTTGAGCAATGCAGCTCGTTAAACAGCTGCACCAGGAGGTTGATATGAGTTACAATTAGTTATAAATCAAATCAAAATTTATGAAATTTTCGTGTCATACTTATTTAGTTCATTGTTTGCAATGCGTTTTTTGTCCCCTGGTCTTCTGATTTAGATGTTAGATGTTTAGAGGTAATGTCATTTACAATAGTATTGGTTTTGCAACTGTAAATCTTTTTGTAAGGACAAATTCAAACGAAATGAACATCAAAAATATTGACTGCAGGGAAGTGAGGGAATTTCAAATACGATTGCTATATTTATGGAGTATATGCTGTATTACACTAAATGTACTTCTGTTGGGCGTCTTTTAATTCACCATATTCTATCCAATTTAACATTGCTACTATTCGTCTACTCCCAAAAAAGTATATCTTCTGATCATATTTGTATATGAATATATAATATCAAATCAAGTCACAAAGTTTACTCAGAAGTGAGGGAATCTTAACTCTCGAAAGCAAAATTGAAAATGATTACTGTATAGTCAGGAAGTAAAATGAGCGAACGTTTGCGAGGGCACTATAAGTCTCACGCACTGTGTTGTGAAATAGTTTTCGGCAAGAATATAAATCTTCCGAAGACAAGAAAGTGTAAATATTCTCAATTTTGTAGAAAGCGTCAGTTTAAATTCCAAAAAATAGGGCTATTTGTAAAAAATACAATAAACCATCATCAAGTATATATCAGTTAAATTATCCACTGCAATCTACTTTGGTCTCGTGGTACTCTAACCGGTGTATTATTAACTGGAAATCAATAAATCGCGAAATGCATCGCCTTTGCATTTCCCACTAGGAAGACAAAATTAAAACCGCTAGTGAAGTCCTCCGTAAACATGGCCTTATCAATAGTTGCTTTTGCAATAAAGTTTTATGAATATTATACCAATCAAATTATTATATGTTTATACAATTTTATATAATATAGGTGTATCACAATTTTAAAAAACTATTATATTATTATTCGGATACATAGACAACTAACTAATAGTACTAACCTGTTGGCTTTCTTTAGATTTCGAGCTTCGGGCGGTTTCGTCGAGTGACTGAGGTTCGATTGGTCTCATAAGTTCTTTATATATCAGTGAATTGAATCCGATCTCTCTCTCCCATTTCCATATTCAAACATGCTTTTCTATATTGAAATTATAAAGAATAAACAATATTCCGTTATCGCATTTGCTCGGTCTAGTCATTAGGGACCAATCGCACGCGCGGTATCATCGTCCCTTGAAACAAACCGGCGTTTCCATATTTGGAGTCCACTGAAATAGACAAGCCGGGGTTCTGGATAGTATTCGGTTGCGACGACAAATGCTAATATGACGTCACCGATATAGTATTCCAACTAGAAATGATAAAAAGAAGATCTGTTAACTTGAGCATGTTAGCAACGATATCTCAAAGGAATGCTGAACTCGTAACATATGTCCATATTACCAGTCTAGATAATGCTCGGTCGTATAAAGCCATGTTTGGAAAGGAATAGAGCTATAGCTATATGTAAGACCATTCACTTACTAAACTACGCCTATTACAAAATATGATTGCATTCTCTATGTCAATATAAGTATTTTTAAAATGTAATTAACATATATATATATATATATATTCATTGAATCCAATTCACATTTTTTACTTTGTACGTAATATCATTGACAAAATGAATGCATTTACTATGCCCTCGATAGGAAATTCTTTCAGGCTCTAATCTTCTTGTGTCTCCGCACTCAGTGGTTGAATGCTCTTGGAATATAAAAATTATTAAAAAATTTAAAACAGTCTCAATATCCGAATATTCGTAGAATTTTTGGTAACACTCAAAATGAAAAAATGATACAAAGTTGCAAATTGTTGATTGAGTAGCAGTTATGCAAATACTTTAGACTGGATCTAAACTGCCTGTACGTGCACTACTAATTGTGATGAAAGCCAGGAATTGAGACTAAGCAGTCGATGATGCATAGCCTTCTATGATTTATGCATATCGTATGTTCTTATCAACTCATCATTTCTGTTGTAAACAGTTTCACTTTTCCAAAAGAAGCTGAAATCAAAAAGTGGTAGACAAATTTCAAGAATACATATATTTACAGTAATGAACTTGACTCAAATGTTTAAACAACACAATTGTTTAAAGATTTAGAATAAATTTTAACATAATACTCAGTTGCAGAATTCTTAGGTATTAAAACGACACGAACCGACTCCTGAACAACGTCAGTTCCATTTTCAAGCTTCCATTAGCATTACAAGAAATCTAATTCAAACATTATTGTTAAATTTGTTATCACTATTTGTGAGCTTTTATCCGTATTCACTTTATATATTTTATACATATTATACTAAAACTTATTTGTTTATGGGATTCTTATCTTGAATCCCATATGAAATTTAGTATACCGATACTGTTAATGCTGCTTGCTTGAGGCATAAAGCATCGGTTTTAACATAACGTATTGTGTTTGGTGGGTTCATTCTTCTATTATTACAGAAACATTGGAGTGAAAAGAATAATATATTATATAAAACAAAAATTTGATTTGAATCATTTTGTTTAAAATAGTAACTTTATTTTGTTGGGTGTAAATACTAAACTGCGAAATATTTACGATTATTAAAAATGAGAAGCTTCAGATTGCAATAACCCATTAAGATATTTAATTTTTAGTTCGTGTTTCAGTCCCATCGTTTTATATCACATCGCTCTGTTTTTCATAATATAAGTCGATATTATATTATTTATGTGCAATTTTACAGTCAATATAAGCAATCACGCAAATCAATACAGGGCGATGAAGCATGGAGGTGCTCGCAATAAGGGTTGCGAACTAAATATATAAATATATATATTAGCCAATTCTGATAGATAATAGGCGTTTTACAATTCATCAGTACTGTACATAGTACATCTTGTTTCATCCTACACCGACGATGAAAATAACGGTGATTTTCTGATGTCGTCACACGAGGTATATAAATTTGTATTTGTCACTTGATGTAAGCGATCTTTGTCACCATTACATACAGGCAAGCTCTGCAGTTTATTTTGCACTTGCTGTAAGTTACTATCTGCTCTATTCATTAACAATTCTTTTCCATCTTCATATAAATCTTCCGCTTTTTCAAACGCACCACACGCTCCAACAAAAAACTTTTTTGCCTCAGAATATTTGCCAAGCTCTGCCAGGGCAACACCCAAGTTATTTCTCAAATCGCCCAAAATGCGATATCGTATTGCATCTACACCGAATGTTGTATTCAATAAATGAATACCTTCTTCATACAATTTGATCTCTTTTGGAATATAACCAATTGCACCATAACTCATACCCATATTGTTCAGGCAGCGCGCCTCCTGTATGGCCTTCACTCTCGAATGCCCAGCAGCTGAACTACGTAAATCGGATAAAATATCACGGAAAACTTGAAGTCCAAAAGCTCCCGAAATCGCTTTTCGTTTGCCTCCTTGTTTAATCAATTGTGAAATTGCAACCTGCGCTTTATATGAGCAATCACCAATTCCGCATACACCGTCATCGCGATTTGGCCTTATTCTATACAAATTGGATGCACATAAGAGTAAAACCAGTGCATGGATGGGACTAGTATTCTTAATGCAATCATCAACCATATTCATAATGTGCATGGGATTCAACAGTTTTGACGACATTGTTCCTTTTACAATGCGTAAGATGAAATTTGCTTTTGCTTTTCGATCCGTGATCAAACAATTTTCGATATCTCTGAGTAAATTTTGAAGAGTGGTCGAATTCCATAGTCCAGTTGAATTAGTTAGATCCATAATTTCTAAAAATGAGTTAATATACCAACGTGTTACGCATCATTGTAACGCACAATTATAAAAATGTATCTAGCAGCAAGTAGTCATAACATATCAGTTTTGGATGCTTGTTTTTCGTTTAGGAGTTGAGATTATTGATAGATTCAAATACACTCAAGGCATATTAACGCGTTCTGGCAATTTCGAGTCGGAAAGAATACCACCTTTTCAAAGTCAGTAGCTTGACCTAGGAATGGCGGAAGCGAGTCCGGATTCGATCACAAAATCGATTCTTCGTGGAATCGACTGAAATCGATTCCAATGCATTGGAATCCATTCTCGAGGTTAAAACTTGATTGCAAACAATGTGTAACGTTTTGGGGCAATTCCTTCACATATATCATATATATGTATAAACTGCTTTACTGCTATGTTGAATTGCTACGACGCCGCAAACTTTACTATATATATATATATATATCGCTTGAAGGGTTTTACGTTTATTTATTTTCAAAATCTCTGTGGGTTCTGCGGGATTCTTTTTTTTTTGTGCGATTTTGTCTCCTGTGACAGATTGGATTCATATATTTGAACATCGCTCTCTTGTTTTATTTTATATGGTATTGCTTAGGTGGGTATGTTTTCTCGGAAATGTCGAGAATCGGAATCGAAAATTTAGAAATCGGATAAGAATCGAATACTTGTAAATATTCATACTTAGCATCCTTAAGCTTGTTACGTATGAGTATCTTTTTATAGTGAACACTTGTTTACAAAAGCGTGAAATAAGTTTTAAAAAATTTGAAGGAACCCACGTTTTAAATCGTTTGTCTGAAGATCATCAATCTCATCATTATCATCATCATCGCTGTCGTCATCTTCTTCACTGCTTTCACTAAATCAAAAGAGAGTCGTTAACAAATACAATACTATTCAAAACAAGAAAGCAATGCTCAAATATATGGGCACGAAAACCAAAACGAAGAAGTATCAAATATTTTAGCACAGGCAGTCTTACTTATCAAAAATCCCGACTTTGCTGATTGCTGAAATGCAATCGCAGAACCGCCACACGATGCGCAATTTTTAATTTTTATGGATTATTCAGACAAAGCTGAAAGTTAAAAAGGTATCTCATATAGATTGGCTTATAGCCCACATAAATTTTTGAAGTAAATAATAGTAATAGCCTTCTAGCGACAACAACTATCTTTGACCACTTCGTCCCCAGTAATACAATATTTAAACTTACTGTGTCAGCAGCCTAACTTGTTTTTCAAGTTTGACAATACGATCCTCTAAGGTTAAAACACGATCTTGCAGAATTGTAATATGTTTACATGCGGAACATTGCTGTGTTTCTTTCTTGTGACTATGTAGGTTTTCAAGATTAAGTTCTTAAGAAAATATGTTAGAATGATGGTAAATAATAAACGAGGGGTACGATGGATGGCGAAAATCTGAACTGTGTATACTCATAAACTAGTTGTAATATAACATACCTTGTTCTTCAGTTTTGTTGATTTTATTTTCTGTTGTGATTAAAAGTTTATTTGTACTATTGTTATCTTCATAACTTGATTTTATGATCTCAGCGCCTGAAAAAGGTGAGATTACCTAATTACATTCTGAACATCTTTATTTTTCGTATGTAGACGACTAAAACCATTTTGCAAACTCTTTGAAACGTGCCACTCATTGTATACAGGTCTTTCTGATTATAGAATGCGTCTAAGAAAGGAACAGCAATCTAATATTACGTACGGAGGCCAATCAAGTTAGCAATGGTTTGTAACTGGTTTATAGCATGGCACAGGACTTAACTTAAATCCATAATTGTAACTGTATACAATGTAGCTACCAAGTCCAAACTAAATTCAAAGCACACATGCAGACGAAGTTTTGTATTTATTCAAACTCAAAAAGCTATATTGAAGCCACATTATTAAGACGTCATTGCTCTTGTTTCGCGCTATTATATTATGACGTCATACTCTAGGTATCCATCATTGAGGTTTCTCATAAATGCGTTGGTGTGCGTGCAATACAGCACATCGTCCTATCTTATTCTTGTCATGTGTTACACCTCTTCAACTGTGCAAATTAGTAAATGTTCACAACCTTTTGTATTCAATTCTTGATAAATTAACAGTGAGTCAGACTTGCGATAGACAAGATTACAATACCCTGTTCATTTTTGGCGACAGTTACATTTTCTCTATAGTTTATTACTATTCTACCACTCTCAAATGTGATTTTAAATTTCTAGTCCTACCACTACGTCCCATTTCAAAGTTAGGAATAAAAAGTGGAATATTTGGTAGAATATAAAATGAACTTATTAATTAAATTCCACTTTAAATTTTACAGAACTTTCTAAAAAAATTGTGCAATAAACTAGAAACCTTTTTGTAGTTTGACATTTTGTTTTTCCTTTTCCTGGTTTTTAAGATAATCTTCATAACTTGAAAAACGTATGGTGGGGGTTGAAGTTTGATCTAGATGAAATGGATAAACCAAAAACTTGTAAGTTATACATTTTCTCTTCCCCTTTATTGAGATATTTGTATTTACTATTTTTATATAAATTTGAATATAAACACAAAAAACAATTCTGTGTTTATATGTACTGTTCTAACACTCTAACAAAGATAACGACAAAAGTTATTCAGAAGCAGGCGTTTTTAAACTACAGATTAAAATGAGCATGAACCAACTTAGACGCAAAATATTTAGCCCGTAATACTATTGTTTCGATTGTTTCCATTACCGGATTTTTCAGCATGAGTTGTGTTTTCTGATGCTAGTGCATAAAACTCATCATCATAGTCCTCATAATTGCATCTTGGAATTCTTGCACCTGAGTAAATAGGAAAAAGCTACAAACGCCAAACACCCAATGTTACTAAAGCTCCATGAAACACGAAACATTCTAGACAATGCTATAGGTGAATTTATCCATTGCATTCAACTGATGGTGTTTTTAGCCATTACATGTGTTGAATTTCGCCGAGTAAACATATCCTGACAGTGTAACTCTTACTTCACGTTTCTTCAACCGATTTTAAATTTGCTGTCAAAAATTACCCACAAGCATCCATATATGTGTAGATGCTGACATTTCAAAATGACAGTAAGGTCTGGCATAATCTATTAGTAATGGAACGCTGGTTAATGTGTGGATGGCCTGCATTTGAACTATTCAGAACTCGAAGGCGAGATATTCATCATACAAAGACAACATAGTTGGGTTAACATGTTCTCAATCGTCTGATCGACTTTGATTAGTCAATCAATATTTTAGGATTAATATTAATAATTCGTCATATTTTTTCTTACTTAAAATTCTGGCTTGAAATATTTTTTTCCGATTCGAACTTTCAATTTCTGTTTCTGGCGGTAAGCTCCTTGACTTGATCACAACGTATTCATCGTTTTGTACACTCAAGTTTGATCTGTAAAAAGCCAAAAAACATGTTACAAATCATGGAAAAGTGTTTTTTATTATGGAAAAATCCACACGTTTCAGTATACCCTGATGGCGTGGGGTAAAATTTTGAATTAATAATCATTGAGCTGAAAGTTACAGTTATTGATCTTTATACCGTAGGCTACTTTTGCATCCGAAAATCAAACCATACTCTTACTTTGTGCTATTGCTATTGTTGTACGTGTCGTTACTGGGTAATTTCATGCGAGTGTCTTGTCTTCTCTCTCTGTATTTCTCTTCTAGTAGATTCATAACTTCCCGATTTGATTTTCTCTCTATATTATCATCTTTATTATTCTTAATTTGTGGAAGGTTAACACAATGTTTTGTCATAAATAAAAAATAATTACGGAAAAGTGATTCGCAAGAGGATATCATAATTAAAACAATTATTAATTCCCAAGTAACTTTACATAAATATTTTCACCAAAAGTAATTTTCTGCATTTTCCAATTATTAGTATATTCGGAAAGTTTTAACGCAATCTAAAATCCCTCTCTTCGTCTGTATAATGTTATGATCTTGAAAATTTTAGCTCAGGATCCACACTGTATAGATTTCATTTTCTGTCAATAATTTTATATTACATAAAATGATTGTTCGTTCATCTATCAACCTAATTCTACCATATTTTTCGAGAATGAGAAGAATTATGATATTCCTCCACAACACTCTGACATATATACAAAATCGTAAAACTATCGATATATATACCATCGCTAAGAGCAATGATGAACTGATTATAAAACTTTTTACAATCGTTCAAATTAAAGTTGTTTTTATCCAAAGTTGACAATATCCATGAAGTTACTTTGAATTAGGTTGAAAACCGATTTGGAGTATAATAACCTGGTTTGTAGGATGAATTCTTACAATCGTGGGAACTGATACTGGACCTAAAATGTCGATGACGTACACTGTCATAGTAAATTTTGCTACAAACAATCAGTTATTGTGACAACTTATTGGTTGTCTTTATTTTCCGTATTTGCATCAACGTTCAGTTACAAACACGACTCTTACGTATGCAGCGTTTCTATCTAAACATAATACTGAGTCAAGTTCTACGACTTTCTACTGGCCAGCAGAAATATACTAAGCTTATATCAAAGTTCCCCGCAACTGAAACTAAAATCACAATGTTGTAAAATGACATTTTTCAATCAGCAAACGTAATTTCTCATATCAATCTAAATTCGTTGAAATTATTTTTGTTTAGCGAAGTTGTTCATTTATTATTTATGATCATTCAGATATTCGCAACTGCTTCATTTGTCATCGCTCGCAGATCTAAAAAAAGAATATGTAGCCTACCTGATAAACATAAGATTAATTTTTAAATTATTTCAAATTTCACTCAACTTTTCGTGTTTTTTTTTAATACTTTCTTTTAATGATGCTTTCATCCGGCGGCGAAATTGCATGCCATGACTACTTATATTTAATAGGAAGGTGCTATGAACGATTGGTCAGCAAGCTTAAAAACTATATAACCCAAATTTACGTCACATGTGAAAAAAAAAAACGGTCGAAAAAACGGTCATCACGCCAGATTAACAGTGCAATTTGACGACGTGTTGTAATTTGGAGATGGAAACCGATTTTTATGGCAAACCGTTGACATACTTTTTACGTTTTTTAGAGTTAGTTGTCTGCCAGTTGACTAAAGCTTTGTTGACTACATGAGACGTCTCAGCAGTGTGTAGATGATTTCCAACTAAGAAAAAGGCCGGGTTCCTTGGGTTATGGATCCGCGTTTGAAACTGTATTGCTCTTATACTACACTACTATCTGTCACACTTTTTTGTTTAATTTGTTATGAAAATCAATTAAAATTTTAATATATACAAGGCTACTGTTGCATATCATAGAATAGTTTTGTGTGACATCTCTCACTATGAATGTGATTTGGACTTACATAATGTGCTTTGCTGGTACCCACAATGCCAATCAACGGGCGATCTAGATTGTGCTTGTATACCACCTAGCGGTAGATTGAAAATTATATTTTGATTCAACGTATTTCACTGGTTTCTGATGATTACTGAATCGAATAAAAGTCGCTGTAGGAAATGAGGGTGTTTGTTGTCAAAGAATACGTCGTCGCATCACAAATCAAAATTCTTAGATTTATTATCATTAAAAATTACATAACTCTTTAGATTTTAGAAACTTACATTCAATGGTCATTGGCTGAACACATTGGTAGTCATGAAGAGTAATTGCGAGCGTTCTGAAAACTATACGTAAAATACTGTACTTAATTCGAAATTACTAACAAGGTTACCATCTTTTTCTTACTGGTCAAATATGAGCTTCCTTCAAGTTCAATAATGTATTTTCTTTTATATACCACCTCATCAACATATAACAAACATCTCTTTGACTAATTCCTAAAACAGAATCACAACGAACACCATGGACTCCATTGGCAGCAACATTTCGTCTTTACAGCGAAAATATGCCATGTCAATGGATGCTTGTACATAATATGGCTTCGAACAAGTTCAATCGGTTCAATGGATGTCCTGTCCTTCCTTCAATTTATTCAGTGCAATTTGGATGAAATCAAATATTTTCGCAATATAATAGATTTTAGATTCATGGAATTCGTCTTCAGACAATTGGCATATCACCTATACCCTTGGGATGTTTAAGTTGCAGTATTGACAACTGCTACACACAAAATAAATTACAAATGAATAATTAAGAATTTTTGTCAGACTCTGATTGACGTTACGCACGTTATTGCAGCGCACATCAAAAAACGATTACGCAAATGCGTCAAAGTTCCCTATAGAGTATAGACGCTTGTCTATTCAGCTTTCGAAGACATGGCCTCTATTCCTCTTCCCGGCAAAGGGTGTACTAGTAAAAAACACAACCAAAATAAAACTGAAATTTTCATCGGGTTAAAATTTGAATTTTTTTTTGAATCTATCATATTACTGCACACTAAAATAGAGATAGGGAAAATTTAAGAGGATTGCAAAATAAGAAGATCTATTTAAGATTAAAATCGCATACAAATACCTCCTATTCCGAGTAATCATATGAATTCGAAAGATTCAAGCATTTTTTCCTAAATTGTTATATTCAACGATTTTTAGACGAGTCGTATATATATTAATTTATTTTCGATCCAAGCTGAGATCTCAAGGTGTACTGTTACAAATCTCATCAATTCCAAATGTGGAAGGTATAATTAGATTAAAACCCTGTATGATCTAGCCTCAAAGAGTAAGAATAAGCGACTGTCACCCAAATGGACACCTTTAACACTGAAGTCATTAAACATGTCTTTCTTACCATTCGTAAAGGATGATACGCCTCTAATATCTAATCAGAAGGAGCCCCGATCATACTAGAGATCATGAGTGTTATTTGAAGGGAATTTGCTCAAAGCAAGGTCAAACGCACAAAATCAGAAGATCATTAAAATGCCAATACCTACTGAGACTAAATGAAATTATAAAGTAATGTTTCGCTTATATTTAAGAAATGCGCAGTAATCCGTGACCTTTTTTGAAAGAACAGCGCGAATCTTTTAACTTCCCTTTCCTTAGAAAATAAACTTCCGGGGTTAGAGCTTCATCCCGTGAAGATGCAATATGATATATGGAAAATGATGTGTCTAATTGAATTTATCCCATGATAAAGAAAACAGTAATTTATTTAAAAAACATCGAGTAGTCATATTTTCGCTACAAGAATGCTATATTGTGCCTTGCCTCTTCGCCTCGTTACAGAATAGATAATTGATGTATTTATCACTAGTGGCTAAAAAGTTTTTTGCTGGAATGGTCTCACACGTCAGTACCCTCCATCTTGTGTTTAACTTAGGACCCAAGCCATTTTCATTGAAACAGCGATAGCATCAGCTATTCTGACAGACATAGTGACTTAAAAACCGTTAAGCCTCCATAAAAATAATTACTCGAAAAATGTGTACTGAATTTAATTTCCTTGAACGTTTACTCAACAATTACGATACTTTAAACAAAACAGGCACAAAATATTTTTCAATAAATTTTAGTGTCAAATACAAACCTAAAATGAAGTGAGTTTTAGTTTGTACATATTTTTCATACTAAATTTGTAGTTTTTCGAACTGTAATCAATATTTTTGAAGTCAATTTCGTACACTTAGCAAAAATAAAATTAATAAAAAATCGGAAACTTGATTATATATTTATCCTTGGAGATTAAGTTTTCATGTCGAAACAAACAAAAGAATGACATGTCGATGGAATTCAAAAATACACAAGCCTGTAACAATAGCAAATGAAATTGTGAAGAAATTCATTGGTCATAAAAACATTGCAAATCAAGTGAATCTCAAATAGAAAAATATGTAAAATCAGAAGTTTCAATTTCAGCCAATTCACGGTAATTTTACGTCATTTTTAGTATTGCAAAGAGTAGTCATTACTAATCAAAGTAATTCTCATATTGTTGTTCCTCGTCGACTCTTTTCTTTATATCCAACATCCGACGAAGCAAATCTATATAGAAAAAAAAATAAGATGAAAATTGGAAATATTGGCTCAATGTATCTATAAGCTCTGCGGATTTTGTTATCAGAAAATAAAGTGCGGTAATCGCGAAATACATCAATACGTGTCTGTCGAAACAACATTGAACCTTTCGATTTTGTTTCCGATGGAAATTTAACATCTCTGGACTGTAGTTCATACCATGCTTTGCAAAAATTGAAAATGCTTTAACAATGGCAACTCCTCAATAATGTTTTAAAACTTTTTTTTTATTGTTGCAATGACCTGTTTCCAGTTCAAACCTATTACCACGTCAAGCCAATATCAATGCAAAATTGACCTAGTGAGTCTTCCTAGAAGTCCTCGGAGCTTGGTTCATTCTTATCGGTATTTTGACAGAAAGCAAAATATTTTGATGTAAACAGAAGGAAACTGCGCAGAAGATCAGATTTAAAGAGAATCTATCAATCAGTGTCGAAATACGACTATGAAATATATATTTCTTTTATGATGCATACACATGATCGTACAACGACCCACTTCAATTATTATATATATTTGAACGATGAGTTCAACTTCTATAAACGCAAAGTGACACAGAAAAAACTATATGGAATTAAATTACTATCTACGTTTTGTATTGTATCTATAGTAGCTGTGATGGCCTTGAGAATTCTAAGTTTCACATCGGACATGTTTTTTCGAACCCTCATTTCTGAACTCATGTTGTTAAAACTATTAAGTAGGTAAATCAGTTGTCTAAGCTTATATTGGCGTTTTAGGGCTCAAAAAATAAAAATGTTTTCTCATTGAACCTGACTTGGTATTTTGGGGCCTGGAGTCAAAAAGAGAGCGTTAATGCAACTCTGAGACGCATGTAAAATTTCAATTTTAAACATCCTAGGTATTGAAAAACTTTAATTTGTCTGATTTGACATAACGAAATAGTTTATTCATCATAGGTGGAGTACTAAGCATGGGCTGCCTATTGGAATATTCTAGCCATAAACTATATATCTCGCTACTGTGGCTCCAATAAAGTTATTTGTATTTATATTTAACTTCTCAAAAAATGTTTCTTTGACATGAAATTTACTATATAAAGTTTTTAGGTTCATTCACCTCAAACAACTGCACTGACAGAATGTGGAGGCTGGTGAATACCAGTTAAAACGGAATAAAAGTATTGTTAATTCTATAGTCATAATAAGGCAGAGGTTACTAGGACTAATTCATTATGATTCTTTGAGTAGTAACGATTCAAAGAGAATTAGAATATTTGTCGCCAGGTTTCTGTGATATGATTTAAACTCACCCGAGTAATTTTCCGCAATCTCATTCTTTGGACATCGGTAATGACTGCAACTTTATAATAAAAAACAAATATTTTTTTCTGAGGATAAAATAAAAGAGACATACAATTCAGGTTGATTTTTATTACCCAAAGAATTGTTATAATAGAATCTTAACACGTAAACATGAATCTTTCAAATAAATGTTTATATTAAGTTCAAAAGTTGGTATTCGAAATTATGTAGGGTGTAGCGTTTCCAACTCACGCACGCGGACACTAGTCCGTTCAAACTTCAGTCCAAGACTCGACGAAAACAGTTTTGAAACTCGAATTTTTTTTTCAAATCGTTTGTTTGTCAATGCAAAATGTAAATCTATACTGAATAACTAAATATAGTGATTTGTTTTACTATTTTCAAATGTCAAATTAAATTCTTGTAAAATTACAATTAATATTTTGGCAGTGCGAGTGAAGATACACGCTTAAACAAAATTGATTGAAAGAAAAAATGACAACAAAACAAACTTACATGGCATCGCACCGCTGAACCGTAATTTCGGAGCCGACCAAGAAGATAACTGCAATCAGCATAATTGTATTCATAAACTTCATGTTGTTTTTTGACTTCTGAATTTTTTCGCTGAGGCCTAACTACAAAGTATACCACTTCCTTTGATGGTGATAAGTTAAATATGAAAGTTTTCAATCTAAAATCTAAATTCTGAATAATATAATAAGTTAGGTTATTTTATTTTGAAGATAGCGGTATAAATCTGATTTGATAAAGTTTATTTAAATCTGCGAAATTTAAAGCTTAATTTTTGGTTAAAAGTTAAAAAAAAAATTGATTTGTTGCGTTATGTTCGCACAAATATACCCTCAATGACTGAAGAGTGAAATTCGATGTGTTCTACTTATATTATATTCAACCGAAATGTCACGATATCCCCTTGAGTGTTATTCTGATTTTTTTATTGGCTTGGAATCTGTCATATTTCACCATTCCTAGGCCGATTTTTTTGCATATTCATGCATTTATGTCAAAATTTAATTATCAATTTTTTATTGCACTTGGTGTGTCGTTTATCGCTATTCGATCGTTGTATGTGACTTGGTTTTTCGTGGCTCATCATCTAATTTCTATTCATAAATAATAAATTCTTTTTCATGTGGCGTTATCAGAGACAATTAATCGCCAGCTTTGTCATTGGTGCACAGCAAAGTCCATTTTAACAAGATTCAAGATCAGATTTCACCAAGAAATGAAAGAAATGTTCGTTCCTAATGATTGTAGAGAATATTGAAATCAATATTTTTGCGTGGTAACGAGTTTAAGAAAATTTTACGGTCGTAGGCCTACTTATCCGTGATGGTTCCAAACGAACTAAATCAAATAATTTTCACTTTTTAAGTAAAGGAGCGTACATTATGGACGCACTTTAGGGTCAAAATGCTTTAACGTCCAATGTACACTAAGTAATAAATATATTGAGTATATATGAGTCTCGAGAACTTCCCCTATTGTGTGATTCTCAATTAGGTCTCGCGTATGCAAAAATCGCAACTGCAAAAATATCAAGTCAAAACTTCAAAAGATAACAACACATATTTTGGCATAGTTCGGTTAATGAACTTATATTGAGAATATATTATGCGAACACAATTTGGATGTTTTCTATGAACACTTCTTCAAGCAACGTTAACTCAACTTGCTCTTTTTTTTATCAAAAAATCAAAATAAACTTCCGTATGGAATATATCGATGTGATGCAATTCTATGTATTAGTAGACCGCACATCTGCGTCATTGTCGCGCTTCTGCGGAGAACGTTTCGAACTACAATTCGAGTATAACATTCGCGTATTTTTGCGTAGTATTCAAGCTTATATTATCGTGCGAATTAGAACCAGGTAATTAGGTTCGAATTAGAACCAGGTATTGTAAACCCGGTCAGAACTTTTACCAGATCGCAGCTCGAATTATGACATGGCAATGCGAATCCCGAGTTCTGATAGTATAAAGTCCGTGTTCGATAGCTACGTTTGACTCATTATAGTCCCCGTCCAAAGTATAGAATATGGAGGTCCTGTTCGCATACAATATTTTGCCATCTATGGCGTATTCACGGAACTCAATTACAGTTCTCGTTGAATTAGTCACGCAATTCGTTCCACGAAAACATCCCGATGTGATTTTTGACATTAGAAAATCTATTTGCGCCATTTATAACCATAAAAACTCTCAACTTGCCATCTGTTTTGACTGCTCCGATAGATTTAAAATAGTTCGATCTAGCTTGCAAATTGCGATAACAATACATGAGATAGGTTTCGAATACAAAAAACTTCGAGTTGGTAAAATGCCTTTATGTTCCAAATTAGTGTTGGTATATTTCTAAATTGTTGATTTTGCTTATCTTGTATTTTCCATCACAATGGTAAATTAATACAAATATAAAAAAACGAAATATATTTTATATTTTGTTTTTCAACCCAGAGAAGACTTGAAGACTCATGGAAAGTTGATAGTTAGTGTGAGTGTATTTTTACGAATTTTTTTTTTTTCCTCGTTCCTCGTCCTTTTCGTCGATGTTTTTACAAACGAAATCAAATTTGGAAAAAATGCGTGACTCGATTATTAGTTTTTAAAGTAATAGACAATATCATTAATATTTATTATATTGACGTGGGAACCTACGTCAGAAGATTTTAACCATTTGTGATTTTTTTTACTACAGATCAATAATAAAATCCAGTGCTTTTCAAAATGTATATTCAAAAATAAAATGTGAAATATGCCAGATATAAACTCAGATATATATGCAAAAATCAATAATTGTTATTTGAATATTTTGATACATGATTATTTGATCGTAAAATTGGTTTGACAAATAATATTATGAGTCATTGGAATGGGAACATAATCTAATATTAAATAAAAATTAATCATGTTAAACAAAGCTCGGAAATTTAGTATCAGAACGCAAAACCATAAATATTCTTATCTATTTTCCAAGCACCACAGGTTCCAATAAAACTGTTAAAAACGTGAATAATAATTATAATAAATTCTTTTTTTAAAGTAATTAGTTTCAACGAATCTCAGAATATGCATAGTCTGAAAGCAACATTTGACAATAAGCCCAAATCAAGGTTTCTGTTTTTCGACGTTGAAACATATTCGTGACGCACCAAGTTTAAAAAAGAATTTTCACTGCTGGCGATTTCTGTTTCAAATCCCACTTTAAGAACACCGAGGCCATAGGGGTACGTTTACAGGTAAGAGGGGTCGGTATTTCGCGGATACAATCCGAACCAGTTTATTTGTATCAATGAAGCGAACGCTGATAAGTTGAAAAAATCAGGTAAATTGTTTACAAATGTAATGACTCTTATAGATTCGGAGGAATGGAGGATAGCTACATTTTATATTCAGGGCAAAACTTAACGCTCGTACACGCTTTCGTGAATATTCAAAACTAATACAGCACAAAATAACAAAAAAAATGACTGCCGTTGGGAAAATTTCCAACGTAGAAAAATATTTGAAAAACTTTTCCAAGACTGGATAAATTCTCAAACTTTAGCTGGAGCATCCCAAAACAGTCTTGAAAAAAAAAATAAATAAAAACGGAAATCCAGCTGAAGCTTATCACATCTATGGAAAAAAATCGTCTGCTAGAACGGGTAATTTATCAAAACCTTCGCCTTTCACATTAAAGCGGACATTAACAATTACAAACTCATGCAAATGTGCTAATCAATAGCGAATGCCTAAAATCAATAATCACCGATAATCCAATAGTAAAATGATTTAACACAGTTTTCGGCCAAGGTGAGCAATGCGCAAGTGTTTTGAGAATATTAAAAAAATATCCATATGAACATCTTTTCATCATTAACTTTTGCAATTTCTCTGCTTGTTGTTTAATAAACCAATTTTCTTCGAAAAAGAAATTTTAGTCACCGCGAGTTGCGACAATGTGACTGCAATATTTAACTTAGATTTACTGTTAAACAATATGTAGCGATATACGTGTGATGTGAACAATTGAATCACGAATCGCCATGAGCTAAGATTTTGTAAATATATCTGTATATCTTCTTCGCATAAGCAGCAGAAATTCTAGTAAAACAGATGATGAAAATATTATTCTTACCACAAATTTTGCATATATATGCATATATAATCTTGAAACATTAATTTGCTTTCCACTGAATAAGCGTTTTTGCTGCTGAAATACGATTTACAGAGAGTTTCAATAAACTAAAAAAACGTATGGTACATCGCTCATTTAATGTGCTCTTTTCTGCATATCGATTTTCCAACAACGCAAAAATTGCTAATTATTCGTTATTGTTCAGCACATCGTTTTAAAATAATAAAACAAATAACTGTATTTATACAATAATTTAAAACAACATTTAATATTTAATATTTTTTACCAATAAAATCACTAATGAATAACTAAATATTTGGCAAGTGTTGAAGAAACATTTAACTTGTTGTAAAAATAATTGCCTGGATTTCCCACATAGCAACTGCGAGTAAATCTAAAGAAATCGGTAAAAACTGTTAGTTCTATAACTTCCTTAATGGAAGGTCTCTGCAACTTTATGCACACAAGACTCACTAAATTGCAGCATCTGACTTGAACCAGAAAACGCGGAGGTTATATCCCAAAACGCAAATTTGGATCGGTCGCAAACTACCGTATGGAAAACAATTAAGCGACGGTGAATACCGCGCCTCACAAAATTTGATTAATTAATGAAAACAAGGATGTAAACAGAATATTTCCTGTTTTTCCACAGTCACTACTGACAATATCAAAACAGCCATCTGTATATCATATCGTTTGTGAACAAAACTAACGAAAACATCCACACAGTACAATGGAATGAAGAAACAAACACAAAGAATTAAAATAGACAGGGCCTTATGAGTGTAACTGACTAATTTCCGCAGGCATTATGGTTTGTATTGATATACTTCTTTCAAATTTGTTTTTAAACAATGCAATAGTTTACTTTTAATATTTGTGTAATTCGACCCAAAACAGGCGTAAATATATAGACTTAAGTACAACATTTAGAACACCATTGCTATTTATTTAGTGAAAAATCGTACATGATTTATTCAATTATAACTACCATTATGGTTTTATTCTATTTCGAAAAAATTATTTAATAAAATTCTACACACAATAACTGCAAAATTCATCTAGATTTTACGAGATTTTCTATACATATCCTGTTGGGATTATAACAAAAACAAAACCTAACCATTTATTTCCTTGTTAACTGTAAATATAAACTCATAATTAACTCGTTTGACTGATTCCGGCCCCGTTTAGCTGATTTGTTTTCCGAACCGACATGAAAAGGTTAACTCTGAAACAGTGTTGAAAATATTAACTTGTTGTTTAAACCCGGTTTGGCATATATTCTTGTATTCCCGTTTAATATATCCTACAGTAGGGCCGAATTTAATCGATTGTGTTTTTTTAATTTAATGGAGCTTGCGACATCTCGCTGACAAGTTTTTATAACACTGCAACCCAACGTTGAAACCAAGTCCTCAACCTTCAAACACACGTCTTATTTAAGCGATGGTTCCAATTTTTATCCAGTCTGCTATTCAAAATTTTGCGTGCCAGAATCAGGTCGACTCACTTACAATCCAGATGGACTTTCATGTATGCCTCATTCACAAATGCTTCAATTTTTTTTTTTTGATATGCTTGACACT